GTTGCCACCACAACTTGAACAACGCGGAATCCACCCAAGATTCCACATATCCCGGCTCGTACCTCACGAGCCGAATGACCAAGAAAATTTCCCAAATAGGGAAGTAAACACATTCTACAATTTTGGGGAAGACCCTGATCACGAAGCAGTAGTTCATGAAATCTTAAACCACGCATGGGTTCACAACGAACTCTGGTTTAAGGTCAAATGGGAACTAGGGGACACCACATGGGAACCCCTAGGAAATTGCAACGACCTCGTCCACCTGGACGAGTACCTCACATTACAAAATGTAAGGGAACCAGAAAAACTCCCTATCAAAGCAGACAGGGAACTCTCGGCATCACTATGCCCCCAAAAATGGAGGTGGAGGAAGTAAAGCTGAGGGATGATGGCCCACAGCCAAGAGCGTGGGAAAGTTCTGGGCGAGTAACTCGCCCAGACAGCCACACCATGTACTAGAGATCACATGGGCCAGGCGAGTAACTTGCCTAGACCACGTGAACCACAGGCTCACGTGCAAAAGAACACACAACTGTGGCGAATCCCATGCACGCAAGAACAAAAACCCCTCCCACCACCACGAGAAACATAACGACGAAATGTCATTCTCTGGGGGAGGCAACCCTCAGTTCAATCCAAACAAGCCACCGGACATCGAAATACGACAACCCAGGGAGCAAGGCTCCCCGGAACAACAACAACACCAGGTGCAGATAAGCACCATGGACTACATGATGCACACAGCACAAATGAGTGCCACAAACCAACAACCATCCACGTTGCTAACAGGCACCGCATACCCCCAGCCTCCTCAGAGGGGCTTCCAACCATATGCAGTGCAAACTGCACCGATGGTGCAACAAGTGCCATTCCAGGGGCAGCATTTGCTGCTGCAGCCCCAGGCATACTCCCCAGGGAACTTCCCTGGCCAGATCAACCCCTGGATTGGCCAATTCAGCCCAGGTCCAACAACACCCCAGCCAAATGCAGGCTGGGAATCAGCCATCACGTCAGCGGTAGCTGCTCAGACAGGTCAGCTCCACGAGGAGCTGAAAGAGATGAAGTCCCTCATAGGAGGGAGATGAGGAAGCGACAGCGGCTCCTCGTCCAGACCGTCCAAACGGGCATGGTCTGATAACTCGAGGGCGTCAGAAGACACCTGCGACCATTGCGCCCACTGGAGGCATGAATACAACAGAGCATGAAGAGATGCCGAGGGCATCTTCGACTCTCTGGACTCTCTGAAAGACACAGAGAGAGAGGTCGATCTCCAAAAAAGTGAGATCGAATTACTGAAACGTGAGCTCAGAGAGGCATGCGCACTGGCAGACCTCGCTGCCAAACCCATTATGATGGGGGCCTCCCAGGTCAGGGGGAGGGGATACAGTTCTGGGCCTCATGAGGCACGACCCCACATGGGGACTAGCGCATCAAGGGGTGGGGCACCGACTATCCCACCACCCTGTGGGCAGGCGACCCTGTCCGGGTTGCATAAGGGCCTGCCCTCAGAAGGGCAAACCCATGTCGAGGGGAAGAGGGAGAGCGGTAGGCAACCGACGGCAGACCCTAAAATGGGGACCACTGCCAGAGGCGGCAGGCTGCTGAGTACCTCAGCACCCTATGGGCAAGCTACCCTGCAGCGAAGTGTCCACATGCTATACAAGACCGCCGAACTCAATGAGTTCAGCAAAGTCGAAGCTCCAGTCAATGTAACAATTGACCCCAACTTCCCCATGAGGAGAATAGCGGGGTCAGAAGCGGCGCACGACGCCGCATACGCTTGGTGGACAAGTGTGAGTGGGAAAGAATTTGTACACTGGTATGAACAGGCTGAAGCTGCCTTCAAAAGCGGCAAGGTACACAGAACCCTTCACGAAAAAGTGAAGGAAACCAAGAAATACTTCTTGGGACCCCCAAGTATTGCAAGACTCGTGGAGGAGTATAATTCCCCAGAGAATAAGGGAAAAATCTCCTGGGAAAGTCTAGGCAAAGCCGCCTATCTAAAGTCCCAGTTCAAACCACTCAGGACTCCTGAGGAACATGCCGCAAGAACTGCAGAACGGGAAGCGAAAGCTTCCAAATACCAGGAAAGAGATGCAAGTCTCCACGCTGGACAACCAGCCCAATGACCACCCTTCCCCACAGGAAGAACAGTAGACCTACCGTACTCCACACCTGAGCCAAGTAGCTCAGGAACACAACAACCCGCTCCCACCCAGGGAGCACCCACTTCGTCAAGCCCACAGCCCGACAATGTAGCCCAGGCTACGTCATCACATCCGACGCAGCAATCGGATGTCCAGATGAACAACCCAGAGGAAAACCCTCCTCTGGGGCAATGACTCCACCCTTGAGAAAAGGGAAAGTGACATGGTAATATGCCATCAAGGTGCCCCTGAAAACATCTTCCCCCAACTCGAGGCCCCGCACACAATACTGTATGCAAGGAACCGCAAGTAACAATTGCAGAAATCTCTACTCCGTCAAAAGACCCACATCCACCACTGCTTGTGTGTAAACACCACTTACACACGAACCCTCATGGAACAAGTGAGGAACACCAAAGACATACAACCTTTGGGTCAAAATTCATTTTCGACAAACTCCACTACTTTTCTCCCTGCGATACCCATGTATCGCCGTTCACTTCAAAGTAACGGCCCACACTCACTTATTCCCTAAACCCTTTCTCTCTCCTTCACCAACATGTACAAAAATCACCCACTTTAAAGTGGTGACAACAAAACACTCATTGATAATTTCAAACTCAATGTAAATCAATTATTAAAACTTTGTTTTCTTCACCATCAACCTTGTATGTGTCACAAATGCAACGCAAGGGGGGAGAATGTCAGGGCAATAGCCCCGAACCCCAAGCCACATGTAATTAGATACATATAGTCACATGGGTAAGCGGGAACCTCCGGGTAACTGCTTACACACTACCGTAAAATACACACATTTGTATCACTTATGGCTCCGTGTGCTGAGCTACCCCAGAGACCTCACAAAACTGGTGTTCAGGAAGTTGGTTCTTTGTCGGTCAGTCGACATAGTTGTGCGCAATTCCTTATGTTGCTTCCAATTCCTGTTACCCACTCACAAAGTGGATCGCCGGTTTCATGGTAGTCCTATTTTGATTCAGTTCAGGTCTGGTCCACTTAATCCTGTTCTGATTTTTGAACGTTACCTTCAACTGCGACATGATGCCTTCTCCTTCTTTCCCCAGCTTTGGGTCCGAGGTGATGGATCCTTACCCTCCCGTTCTTGGTTTTTTCAAAGATTGCATACTTGTCTTCCGAAAGAATTTGCTGGTCATTCTTTTCGCTCTGGAGGGGCTACCCACCTTGCCGCTCTTGGTTTTTCAGATTCGAGGATTCAAGCTTTAGGTCGTTGGTCTTCTGATGCTTGGCAGATTCATATTCATAAGAACCCTGTAATTCTTTGTGCCCGTTCCCCCGTGGGGTCTTCGATTTTTGATTCCTAGCTCCCTCCTTTATTTTTCACCACCATCCCTCCCCTCCTCCTTCTTCTACCATGTTACCAGCTCGCTTCAAATCAAGAGGCTTCAACATCTTGTCAGGGCCGTCACCACGCTATCCGTTACACCTTCGCCCACGCACAAGTTTAAATTTAATGGAGGCACGAGATTAAATATGACTTGTGTGTGCCGGCCTCAGTGCCTCAGTTTTCTTCTGGGTATCCGCCGTGCCCCTTTGCTAGGTCAAGTCCTTGTCTGTACGCAATATTCATTGCTTTATGCCTTTAGACTGTTCATCCGTGATGTTCAGTTTTTCTTAGTTGTCTGGTATGCAATTGTGTCCATGTTTCTGATTCTGCTGCTTGATCGGTATGTCGGTGGATTTTCTTTCTCTTTACACGCGTCCGCTGTACGCTTCGGCCTCTGTGCCTTCTTTCTTTTATGCACGCCCGCTGAGTGCTTCGGCCTCCATGCCTTCTCTTCTGCGTCCGCGGTACGCTTTGGCTTCTCAGCCACCACCTCTCGCGTCCGCTGCACGCTGTTGTTCTACAGTCTTTTATCTCTCTTGCGTCCGCGCAGGCTGGAGTTTATTTCCTTTTTCTATGACTCTCTTATTAGTTCTGGTTAGGGTGGTTGGTTGGCGTTGAATATTCGGTCTTGCATTGGATAAGGCAGTTAGCCTTGGTTACCCTTTGCAAGTTGGATCCCGGATGTTTATGGTGTCTTTCATTTTTCGGCTCATGCCTTGTTTCTTGTAACTTTACTTCTTCTCTTTTGTTGGCGCTTCTTGCTGCTACTCTCTGTTGTCTTCATCATTACCCTCCACCTGCCCCATCGCCTCCTTTTTTGGGGGGGTTTTTTGTATCTACCGGCTCGCTTCAAATCAAGAGGCTTCGACATCTTGTCGGGGCCGTCGCCACACTATCCATTACGCCTTCGCCCACGCACAAGTCCTGCATACCTGGAGCGGAAACCTCCACGAGGAAGGGAGACTGCCGGATAACTGGCTGAATAGCACCGGGGTTTTAGTGGGTATACCGGACCCTCCGTGACCGAGTCCGGGAGCCCCACACAGCGCCAAACCGGCCAGTGCGTAATGCATTTCCCCGCGGTGGCAAACCGGCATTCAAACCACTCCACACTCCATAGGATTCTACCTCCCTGTACAAACTCCAAATACATGTTATGTATCGCGAAAGCTAATGGGGTTCCACCAAAAAAAAAAAAAAAAAAAAAACTCAATTGAAATTTTGCATCCCCTGAACTGTACATTTCAGCTATGTCTTCAACACTCGGCACTTAATGACTTGTTGATCAGTCCTACTCCAAACCTATATCGCTCCTCCTGACGCTAATCAATGCTCCGTACCCATTGATTGTCCGGCCCATCCTCTGTCGGAAACTTGCACTAGGGTGTCACTAATCTTGCTGGAACCATGAAACGAAACTGCACCTATAAAACAAGGTTCAAGTGCTTGCTCGATTAGTCATTATCACTACCGAATTAATTATGGAGTGTCTGTGTTCGTGGTATGTGAAGGAATCTATCCAAAAGAGCGAAGGGGTATGCGAGATGAAGCAAAGAGGAAGAGTCTAGTGTCGAGGAAACTACGGAGGCGGGGAGTATATGATGACGAAGAGGGTGTAGTCCTTGCTCGTCCGCCTACACACGAAAGAGCAGTCCGTCCATAAATTCACGGAGCAAGGGCATAATAAAAGCAACGACATGATCTAGCAATGCCAAGTTCTAACTGATGACCCTAACCACCGTTGAAGGGCAGCTGGGGTACATTTGGATAGCCTCTCAACTGCGGCCCATTCAATGTTTGCATCACAGGGTTATACACAACTGCTCGGATTCGCTGTTGATACGGGATCGCCGGTGCCGGCGGCACGAAGAACGAGCTCAAACTTTGGGTAGGCTGTGCAAGGTAACCTGAGGGCGGAGGCGGTTGAACGCATGTGTTAGGGGCCATCTGGGCCTGCGCATAGTTGATGTTTATCATCTGGTCAAACGTGAGTTGCTGAGCGGCTCCAATGCTTAGTGGGTCGGGGTCACGGGGGTAGGTAGAGTATGGGTTTTCCGTGTACGTCGTACTCATTTCCGAAAGTGCTGCAGCGGGTGGCGGAGGTGCTGGCGCTGCAGTGATCCCAGCGATGTTGGCAGGAGCCATGGAACACCGTGGACTATCAATGGGGAGTTGAGATGATGTCTGCGCGGCTGGTGGGCGTGAGTTCATCGATTGCTCTGGGAGATGTGACGAAGGGGGTGTAGAGTCGACTTGTTCCGATGGCACAACGCCCATGTTGCCCACCCGCACTGTTGGGGAAGTACGAGCGTTGATGGTTGTAGATTGCGTCCCCGGTCGGCATCGGGGTGACACAGTCGGTGGGGGTCGAGTCCTTTCAGGGCTGCGGCGAACCCGCAACTCGAACCCTCTGTCGCTGGCCTACAGGTCAGGTTGCACAACATCAGCTATGGATGAACCGAAGACACAGTCCGGCGACGTACAAGAGCCCAGACCTCTAGTAGGAGTTGGTGGATCTTGTGGGGAGGCACATTCATCAGTTGTTCGCGCCTATTGTACGAACTTAACCCTACAAGGTAGTTAGCGACACACACGAGCACCAAAAACAGGAAGGACTGACAACCATAGGCATTGTCTGATGTGATCAGCATTCTATCAGCAACATGCCGATGTGTACACAGTAAGCAAAACCACTTGCCTAGCAAATTTTCTGCTGTTAAAGATGTGAGTGAGAGATGATGGGGTATCCAAATCTAGCGATTATATTTACCGAATAGGGGCTTCAACTGGGACACCCACACTGCTAAGAGGGATGCAGCGCTGACAGTGGCCAGAGTGGGCCCATCAGACTCTATACCATAGGCTAGTTTGGCTTCATCCAGAAGTACTCCCTTCCTAGACTCGTCCGCTCCCGTGAAGCTCGCTCCAACCAGGCGGAGGACTCGGCACAGCATTGTATTCCTCGCAGCTTCTGCGGCTACTCCCTCGTAGAGAATACCAGGAAGAAGATCATTCGCATATGCAATACCCCGGATTATTTCGCTGTCATGTGGCTCATTATATGTCGTCGAGGTAGAATAACGTTGTCGAAGTTGTCGATCACGACGATCGCGACGATCCTGACTCCTGGGGTTCCCTGCGGGAATTTCAGCCGGGTGAATAGCCCCTCGAATGACGAAGGGATGCGTCACCGCATCTGGATGCACAAGTTCAGAACTGGTTGGAGCACCAGCGTCATTGACCTGATTTTTCGAACTAGGCTCACGGGGTCCAGAATTGCGTTCGCGTTTGACACACTGAAACCGGGTGGATTAGCTTGGGGCCAAAAGCATATCCTAATACAATAGATTTAGCGTACTGGAATCCCCAATTTCCTACAGTGTAAACACTTGGCGTTGCCGTCGCCCCAATGTCGGTCACAGCGTCGATGACTGAGTTGATTCGGGTCATTAGTGCCTGCCTTCCCATCAATGGCGATGATGCACCACTTACTTAGCGTGGCAAGACTGGCACGAACCCTGGTGGTATTCATTGCGCCTTTTTCGGGGGCCTCCGGCCCTGAGAGAAGTATTGAAGCAGTATTTTGGGCCATACAGCGCGCAATGGTGAACTACGGGAAGACGAGGAAGACGACCGGAGAGAAGGAGGGGATGCGGAGGGCGCGCATGCCTCCTCCTCTCTTATGGTGCTCGGAAATTGCGGAAGCGGAACACATTGCACTTCAGCGAGGCGCTGAGGAAAAAGAGCCGCGCCACATTCCGACTAGTTATCTGTTGCTTGCCAAATTTCCAGCAAGCACAAGCAAAGGCATCGAACTGTCCAAGCAAGTGAAGTGGAGCGTCTGTACATTAATGATTCGGGACTCGACGAGCTTCGACACAGTTCATCGAAAAAAGAATGGGGTCAATTTATTTATGCATTCAATTCATCCAAGACTGAATAGACTCGCTCAGAATATCACGTGTGCGTAACGCCGGACAGCTTCCCGATAGATTCATCATCTCATCGGGCGAGCGTCATATATATATGCAGGGGCACCACAATTGCCTCTTGACTCAGTCAATTATCTTACATTTCCCTCAGCAGAATCTCACTCGATCGTTCGGCCGTCTGAAATCCGAATGAGTGAGTTACCTACTGCCTGCCACGGTTCGGTTCGGTTCTGAGGCCATTTTTTGAGAACCAGAACCAGAACCGAACCAGTATCTGAACCGAACCGAACCGCATTTCGGTTCGGTCCCTGTTCAGTTCGGTTCGGAACAGTTCAAACAGGCCTGTACCACTAACCAAGCAATGTGATTTTTGGTCCATATGGAACTCGCTTTCAGGCCCCCATGGATTTGTCTAAAATTGCCAGATTTGCGCCAGGTAGTCCAAGACTCCAAATATGTGTAGCCAATTTTCCTTTTCAATTGTTTTCGGCCATCCCCAAATGTGTCCAACACAAAGACCTTGATCTCTGAAGCTGTGAACAAAATACTTGATGAATGTATGCGCAATATCTATGTTTATTCAACATCATGGTTGAGGCTACAATCCTTCAATGGTTCTGTGGTTCGGTTCGGTTCGAACCGGTTCGTAATACCCTCCCAACTTAGAGAACCAGAACTGAACCGGATTGGAATCAGATCAAAACCGAACCACGGTTCGGTTCCAGTATGGTTCGGTTCACGGTTCGGTCCCGGTTCGAACCGGTTCTCTGAGAACCGCGGCACCCCTACTGCCTTGGCGGAAACAGGACAGAAGTCCAGTATGAGTCCAGGCATCTACGCAACTACGCCGCACCGGTTGCAGCTAGGCGGTGTTCTACTCAAGCTTGCTACGGTCCTTTCCTGAGCTGATATCATGCTCACTCTTTGCTACAGTCTAGCGAATGGGTCATCCCACCAACAAACTTGTTTAAAGGACTTACATTCGAATTTGCGTTTAACATCCCTCGGCCTGGGCGTACAGACGTCTATACCCGAATTGTTTATCGTTACCGTTACCGTTCCGCCCCGAAGCACTCTCACTCAGTGCACACACGGACTTCACACCACAATGTGATTAAAATATCTGATCGAAGGGAACGCATTGGTGATCACAGCAAACAAACTAAGAAAACCAAAATTCCGTAGGAAAGGTAATATATCTTTTATTGCTCTGCCAACTCGAAGGTAGGTCACGAACCCAACGAATGAACATGAGCAGGGAGATCGTCATAACAATGTGCATGCTGGATCATCGGGCCTGGCCTCCCAGGGCCTGACGATTTCATAACGTCCCCGTTCCATTTGTGTTTGAGTATCGCACCCGCGCTCCTTCCTCTACATTCCGTCGGTGCTTATGCCGTGCCATCGGCTAGGGCTGTAGGAGGGGGGGAGGGCGCGAATTTCCGCTGCGAATTTAATCGTGTGAATGCCGCGCCGATGATGAGCCCCGGCATTGAATTAGGGTTGTAGGATCCAAGAATTTAACCGATTCGACAACAACGACCAGGCTGAGTCTTTTGATAACGCCTGCCTCGAGTGGCGCCGGTAATCCACCAATTTCGGCGCTCTGCCAGACCTGACAAATGTAACAGGTAACATGTATGTCTCCATATTCGCTACGCTGTATCCTGCACAATGAGCGGCGTACACATCACATAAGAAACGTGCATCATGCAGCATAAATAGGATAGATAACCCTTCGCTTACTGAAAGGCATGCTTGCCCACATGAGCACATGAGCAGTTGGGTATTTCGTGATTGAACTCAACGGGGATGCAGGATTCTAAGGGTAAAAGTCGGAATTATCGTCCGACGCTGTTTAGATAATCCCACCTAAAACTTTGAACCACTTGCTCAATGGTAGCTCGCTCTTCTGGATCCTGTTTGAGACATCTTTCGAGGCTAGCGAAGAATTCATCGGACTCCTTCCACACGTAGGGGGGTTCACCACTCTGCACAGCACGGAGGACTTGCAAGTCACCTAGCACTGCTGCATAAGGTCTTATGCCGGAAAGCACCTACGGGAAGATCCATCAGTCAGAAATGGTACATAACGTGGGATCTTGGTATGCTAGGACCTGTCCAGATGCACAGCCAAACGCCCAGATGTCACTTTTTCTGTCGTGGTCTTGCACATGGTCACCGAGTAGCTCGGGGAAAGTGAACCGTAGACTACCGTTGGCAGCGCTAGATTCTTCCCTATACGTCGAGAAATCCAAAAGCATGCATGACAGTCCAAAATCACAGAGCATAGCACACTCTCCCCTAACCACAATGTTCTCCTAGGAAGATGTCAAGAAAATCCAATAAAGTCATAGACGAGAAGGGAAAGCAAGACGAACCGGTTTGATATCGCCGTGTATTACATTTTGTAAGTGCAGATACGCCAGACCTTCGGATATGTCCACAACCTATAGAGATGATATCAGTATTAAAGTTTCACAAGGAAGTGGGGTAGCCTTCCCAGTCGACGGCGGTCAGCATCTGGAGTCCGTTTCAGATACTCCGATACATTTCCTCTCTCACACCAAGCTGAAATTAACTTAGCACACGTCGTGTCCTCTTGAAAGAATTCCAATATCCATCCATGGAATGTAACCACGTTGGGGTGCCGCAGTGATGCCCAAATTTTCACCTCGCGCAGCATTCCCCACAGCACACATCAGCGATGATTCGCAGCAGATCAATGCTTATACAAATCCTACAAAACTTGGTGATGACGTCCTAGCCAGATGAAATACATGATCCCCCCAGGACCTTGATACAGACGGCATGCTGGTGATACCCAATCAGGTTCGCAAGATTCAAAAATACTCAAATGTTCTCTTACCATCCCAAGTTCCCTTGATAAACTCTTGCATAACCCATGAGAGTCCACCGCTGAGTCACTCGGCCAGCGAGGTTGCGAGTAGCATCAACTCGAGAGAGCTCCTCAAGAAGTTTGAGGATCCGAGGGCCATATATGGGTGCGATTGATGAGATGGGAAGTGCGGTGTAAAGGGGAAGGCGGGACACTTGCATCGACACTTCCCCAAGCTGTTGAGGGCCAGATCGAGCTGGAGCACTTCGCTCCGGAAGAATCGGTTGGGGGGGGGGGTTCGATGGGAATCGGTGGAATTGGCACTGACAGAGCTCGGGTTATCAGGTCTAGTTTAGCCAACACGCACATTCACTTTCACTAGAGGTCCAAAGTATACCATCACTTGGACCGCAATGGGGGAATGTCAAATCAGTGCTAGGAGGAAGTTCGGAACGTAGTGCTCGTATTGAGTTGTCCAGGAACGGGGAGGATATTTTTCTCTCCACCTGGATGCTTTTGAATCGGGCGAACAGCGACAATCTGACGACTAGCTAAAACGATAACAGTGCCCACCTATCACCACCCCAGGCTCGTGGGTTCTATAGTCGCATTCTCGTGAAATACACTTTGAAAGCGCCAGGTGAGCTCGGGGCTGATACCCTAGACATTTGGCGTACCGGCGTTCTCAATTTCTGGCATCTCAAACACTTCGCGTTGTTGTCACTCCAACCTGGGTCACAGGCGCGATGACTGGTTAACGTCGGACCTCAGCACCTATAATCCAACCCCATCGGCGATACCGCATAGCTTACGTAGCGTAGCAGAATTGGGACGAAGGTTTGCTATATCCATGACGCTTCCTTCCCGACCTCAGCATACTGTGCGTAATAGCGCAAGGGAATGTAAGGAGGAAAGGGGGAAGCAAATGACCAGACAAGCGGTATGTGCCGATATGTGGGAAAAGTAAGATGAGCGCAGGCGCGTCGATTTATGTAAGATCGCGACCTCATTGGTACATTTTGAACGCCAATTGGTATATATGATTGTGTCCAACAGCGTAGTCAAGCCTCCCTATGATCAACACGTACATCGCCTCTACCACTTCCTTCGGTGTTTGTTCTGCTCCTTTATGTGACACAAAGAATTGGTTTGTACTGCACTGCTAGCTTCAGCACTAAGCGTTAACAATTCAGGCGTGAGTCAGAAGTAAATGCCCTTCTGCTCCGTTCTCGGCAAATTCCAACCACTCATCCCGGTCGCGTATCCATCCTCCGTTATCTGGATTCTGGAGAAAATGAGTAGGGACTATATATTACTTGCTCTCTCCCATGTCATGCGCAGAATGGATCACACAATCGTCAATCGCTTTCGTTTGCTTACAATATTGTCTGCTAATGTAATGTGCTTCCCGAAGGAAAACGTCCTGTCAAAAACTTGCGCTTGAGTCTTGCTGGAGCCGCGAAACGAAAAAGTGCTCGCTCGATTAATCATCATCATTATAGAAACAACTACGTAGTGTCTGCGTTCATGGTATACTGTGAGGGAATCTATCCAGGAGAGCGAAGGGGTATGTGAGATGGGGCAAATAGGAAAGAAGAGTCCAGTGTCGTTGCCCCTACAAAGAAAACAACTGAGGCAGGGAGTATATGAAGGATAAATGTTAAAATGACGAAGAGGATATGGTACTTTGCGGTCCGTCTACGCAGGAAAGAATAGTCCGTCCATGAGCCCATTGAGCAATAGAAAAATGAATAACGATATCATCTAGCCATGAAAGTTCCGATTTCCAGTTCCATTGCGTCCGATAGCCCTACCGCTATTGTAGGGCATCTGGGGTGCACTTGGATAGCCTATCAGTTGCACTTCATCCATAGGAATGTAACTTGTCAGCGTTTGCGCCCGGGGATTATTCGCAACTGGTCGGTTTTGCTGTTGATACGGATTCGATGCCGGCATCACGAAGGATGGGCCCGAAATTTGGGCAGGCTGTGGAAGGCAACCGGAAGGCGGGGGCCGTTGAAGGTATGTGGTAGGGGGCATCGGGATCTGCATATAGTCCGAAAAGTAGAAGCCAGTGTTTACCATTGATTGATCGAACGTGAGTTGTTGAGTAGTTCCATTTAGGGGGCCGGGATCGCGCGGGTGGTTAGGGTATACGTTTTCGGTGTACGTCGGAACCTTTTCCGTAAACGATGCAGCAGGGGTGGGAGGCACTGGTGCCGGGGCGCTTCCAGCGATGTTGGCAGGAACTGGCGCAGGACGCCGTTGACCACGAAAGGGGGGTTGATATGATGTGTGCGCAGGTGGTGGGGGCGGGCTCATCGATTGGGCGAGGTGATATAACGGAGGGGATGTGGAGTCGACTTGTTCCGATGGAACGATGCCCATATCGCCCACCCGCAATGTGGGGGAAGTGCGAGTGCTGATGGTCGTAAGTTGGGTCCCTGGTTGGCGTCTCGGAGACGCAGTCGATAGAGGCTCAGTCCTTTCGTGGTTGCAGCGAATACGCAACCCAAACCTTTTTTCTCTGGCCTGCAGGTCATGTTGCATCGTTTCAGTTAGAATGAACTAAACCATACAATCCGGAGACGTACAAAAGCCAAGACCCTGTCCAGGAGTTGGTGAATTTCGTGGGAAGGCACATACTTGAGTTGTTCATGCCTGTTGTGTGAACTCAACCCTGGGGGGACAATCAGCCACACAGCACACAAACACGAAAAAGGGGAGGACGAACATTCATAGGCATTGTCTGATGGGATCAGCACTCTATCAGCAACGTGCTAACGCACATACAGCGAGCAAAACCACTTGCCTAGCAAATTTTCCGCTGTGAGGGATGGGAGTGAGAAATGTTAGGGCGTTCAAATCCATAAACCATATTCACCATATACAGGCTTCCACTCGGACAACCATGATGATAACAGGAACGTGGCCTTGATGGTAGCCAGAGTGGGCTCCTCGGACTCCAAACCATAAGCTTGCTTAGCCTCATCCAGGAGCACCCTTTCTCTGGGCCCGTTTGCTTTCGCGGAGCTAGCTCCAAAAAGGCGAAGGACTCGGTCGAGCATTGGACTAACGCGCTCATCATTGCTGAGTTGATTCCTTAAGCCTTCTGTGGATATTCCCTCGCCGAGGATACCAGGGATATGATGGTTCACTTCGGAGATGCCTTGGGATATTTCCTGTGCGGTATCATGTTTGGGAGAATATTGTTGCTGCCGAGCACGACGATTCTGATTGCTATTCCCTGGGGATTTTTCGATCGGCGTGGGTCGTCAAAGATGGAGAAAACGGCGTGTCACCGCACCTGAATGCACCTCAGACCTGGTTGAAGTACCAGCAGTATTGTCCTGATTTCTCGAGCCGGACTCATGGGACCCAGAGTTGCGTTCCCGTCTGAGGCACTTCGTACCAGGGTTAGCATCAAGCCAAAGCGTGAATAGGCCCAACAAGTTTAACGTACTGGAGTCCCCAAGGTATCGCAGTTTGAGCATTTCGCGTCGTTGTTCCAATCTCGGTTACACCGGCGATGACTGATCCAGTGTCAGGACATCAGCGCCATCCCCCATTCGACCCATCATCGACGATGGCGCATGACTCACACATCGTAGCACGATTGACACGAAAACTTGTGATATCCACCGCGCTCCTTTCGGGCGCTCTCCGGCGAGGAAGCAAGATTCTGGGGCATGGTGCAGGGAAATGTGAAGAAGTAAAGGGAGAGGAAACGAGGTAAGAGGGAAGGGCGTAAGGAACTGCATGGCTCCCTTTTCTCTTAAACTTCCCGGAAATTGCGGAAACAGAACACATTGCACTTGCCAAAGCGCCGCGCGCGCGGAATAATGTAGGCGATGAGGTAACACATTCCGACTAGATATCTGCTGCACATCCCGCTTGCTAAATTCCCAGCAAGCAAAGGCATCGATCGAACTGTCCAAGTGAAGAGTGGTGCGTTCGCACAATGATTCAAGATTCGACAGAATCGACAGAATTCATCGAAAGCTGCGACGGGTTCAATTGCATTCAATTCATCCAAGACTGACGCGCCTTCTCGCTTATATCGCGCAAGCCTTATAGACTAGGCGCGCTACGGCTACGGTCCCTAAGTAGCTATGCATATTTGATGGCGGCTTGTAACCGCCCGCTTGACTGCCTCTACTTAGCCCACATTGCGAAATTTCCCCGCGGCAGTTGGCACCCCAGCAGAATCTCATTTGGCCGTTTGATAACCGAATGAATTATTGTTCGCTGCGAGCCCCACTTTGGCAGAAACAGGACAGAAGTCCAGGCGTCCCAGTAACAACGTCGCTCAAGCCAGCACTTGCAACTAAGCGGTGTCTTACTCTCCTGGTGCTCACTATCTACTACCACAGTATTGGCCACCTTCCAGCGACTATCTTCCCACCAATGAACTCGTTTGATCTTTGGTGCTGGATTTAAATGTGGAACTGACCACTTATCGCTTGTGCTCATGAGGCTCCTAAGCAGATTGGATGATACACGGATATCTGCGGATGCGGTTTTGGCTCCAGAGACTCGAGATGGTGTGACCTCTGCAACAACCCAAGTACTGTACGTAACGTCATCAGTTTTTCGATGATCGCTGCAAACCCAGTTTGGAGTATGGTATCTCAATCCGGGGTTGAACCGTATACATTTGCGGATTCTCAACCGAATCACAGTAATCCGATCCGTTGGGACCCATATGTATGTAGTAGTCTGTCACCACATGCGCAATCATTGATTTTTTTTCATCGTTGCCGTGTCACCCCGGAACACCCTGGACTTTACAAAACGCGCGTCGTCTCACTCAGCGTGCATCATGAAAACAGGGGTATCAAAATGTGATTCAAGTATGTGAAATGATGGGGTCACAACCAACCAACTAATATATTAACAAAGAAAAACCAAAAATTCGAAAGATAAATTGGTCGAAGAGCAGGCCGCGAACCCAATGGGCAGGGAAATCGTTATAACATTAATGTCGATCACCTCCAACTCCACCCCAGGGCCCAATGATCCCATCGGCTCTGGCTGTGGGGGCGCAGGATTGGCACTAAATTCGCAGCAGAAATCCATGGATGCCGATTATGAACTTGCGTTAAATAAGGGTGAAATCCCATCGCAACTCGCTGCCAGCTATTCGACGCCCTTGGGACATCCAAGAGGGCATGCTATTAACAAGCCGCTCATAGCAGGAATTTTCTGGTGCCGATTTCGACAACAATGACCACTAAGTTGAGTATTCCTATGACGCCTGCCTCGAGTGGAGGCGATAATCCACTTAGTTTCAGTGCTCAGGCCCCGCCGGACCTGACAGTGTAATTCCATGTGTGTTTCTCCGTCCGCTGCGCTGATGAGTGGGAGCATGCATCAGATACCTGCTGAAAGGGATGCTTGCTCACATGAGCAGTTGACAGCGATGCAAGGTTTTAAGGGTAGAAGTCGCTAACATCTCTCCCCGTTAAAGAGGGCTGGTCGCCTACCTATCGCTAGAACCAAACGCTCTTACGAAGTTATAGAGGCTGGAGTCCTGCCTAGGAGTCGTGCCTACAAATGCTCAAACATCGCTTCTTCTGTCGCGAATTTGCACACGGCAACTCGGTATCTCAGAGCCGCACAGTACTGATGAGGCTGGATCCTTCTGCATACATATGTTGAGAGACAGTTGGTCTCTGGAGAGCACTGACCCAGGAAATTAAATTATAAATCACGTTATTCCCTTCACAACATTCCCGGTGCTTTACCTTCAATCCCTCAAGTGGCGGACACGTCAAGACTCAGCCCCAATCATCCCAAAACTCAGTGCCACTACTCACCAGTTATTCGGAAAATGTAATTTCTATGTTCCCCCAGACTCTCACCTGTGCTCACGGCATCAACCGTCTTGCACCAGATTTAACCATTATAAGCCACTTTCATATATCACTATCATGAAGAAAACGCGCAAGCCCGACACCAACATTGAATGATAAGACTATGTTAAAGGAATATATGGCGTCCATGATCGCAAGAAACAAAATGTGCCAACCAAAGAAACCAAAAGTCCAATGATAAGCGAGTAGAATGTCTAATGGAAGATAGTGAACTGAAAATACAACGAATATATCAAAGAATCCATCATAACAATACCCCCAGATAGGAATCCTATCTACTTTGATCTCTAGCTTCATTCCATCCGAAGGCCCCAATACTGGAGCCTGGATCTGCGTTAGGATACGGTTCCATATGGGTCCGAATCCCTCCAGTGCGCTCCCTGCCAGGCACCCGTCCCATATTATGGGTAGAACTCTGCACATCGGCCCAACTCCGGTGGTGCGGATTCAAGGTGGGCGGTATGAATAATGGGTTCAAATATTGAGCGGAGGGTTGAGGCCTGATGAAAGATGGGACAGCGTGTTGAACATGGTTGGAAGGGGAGTTTTGGGCAACTTGCACATGTCCCTTGTTTGACGCAAAGAATGGACCCGAACTTCCAGCAGCGTATGCCATAGCCTGTTGACCAATGACATTGGAATCCTGTATCGAAAGGGGTGCGTAGTCAGTGTGACACCCAAGCTGCCAGACGATATGGCCTACGGAGCCAATACAGCCGTCATATACGCCTGCGAGGGGATACACAACTCCTGTGGCGGACGGAGGGGCTAGGGTCGGGTTCACCGAGATCCTGCTGAGGCCATTGGAGTGGCCAGCGGAACTCGGTGAATTGAAAAGGGGAGGCAGGTATGAAGGTTCAGTCGGCGCATAACCTCCCGCCGATGGCCACAGAGTGTGTCTTGGGGGTGGTCTGGGATTTAGCTGATCTAACGGTGCGCTAATATCCAAGTTAGTTGATGTTGATTTGACAGCTGTGCGCTGTGCAGGAGCTTTTGCAATGTCGGGCTGAGACTCCTGCGGCGCGCGCCTTGGTGAAGATCGCTGGCATTGGATCACTCCATCCCTTGACGGAACACACAACTCAAAGTCCCCCTCCTTGGCCTATGGATCAGATGTCGGAGAATGTCAGTTTCGAACTGGCCAAAGAACTACTATTTGACAACGCACGAGAGCATGAACTTTTTCCAGGAGGCTGTCAATCTTGTCCCGAGACGTATCCCTTAGTAATAAGCGCTCCTCGTACGAATCCAACCCTGCGATATGGTCAACAACAGGGTACATGAATGGAAAGCAGGGGTACTTACACGTATGGGCGTTAGCTGACGTTAGTCGGAACCCCACCATTTTACTATCAGCAACATCGTCAATGTAATGCGCAAACACAGACTTGCCTAGAAGGTCCTTCGCTGTTGAAGACGTGAGTTGAGGGTGGTGATAAAGATTCCAAAAGCATATTTACCGAAGCGGGCATGATCTTGTAACCTAAACAACCCCCATGACAACAAAATAACGGCCATAACGGTGGCGAGAGTTGGAACCTCAGATTCCCTCCCATAAGCTTCTTTGGCGACGTCCAGAAGCTCTCTAAATCCATCCTCCCAGGGGTTCTTGTCCAGGAGGCGAAAGACGAGAAGTAACATCAAACTGAAGTGTTGATGATCGTCGGGGTTTACTGAATCCGCTGGGAGCCGAGAGCGTTGCACAAATCGCTCTTGGTTGAAAACGCCAGGAAAGAGGTGATTGGCATAGCCGATGCCTTTGGCTATTCCGGTATTCTGAAATATATTATATGCACGAGGTTGCCGGAGGTTCTGATGATGACGATGATGATCTTGAGGAGTTGGATCTACCAGTATGAAGTTTCCAAAAGCGCGAGGAAATTACATAGTATCCGCAAAAGGGAGAAAAATGATGAACCGTCGCACCTGAGTGTTGTAGTTCAGCCTGAGAAGCGATAGGGAGACCATCGGCCGACGTATCAGTAGTGTTCGTCGATACTCCTGAGGCTCGAAGTTTAGGTGGCTGTCCTACGCACTTTGCAATGTGTCGAGTGAGTATGGTGCTGAAGCCTGGCTCACTCAACCGCGAGCAAACGTAGCATACATTGAGTCCCCACCCCGTGCACCTTGAACAGCTTGCACCTTCAACCTCCCATCTTCTGTCGCACTTGCGTTGACTAAGTTAGGGAGAAAGAGAGAGAGAGAAGTTGTTAGTGCGCGTGCCCCTTTATCAACAACGAGCTACTTACGCTTGGTGACAAGAAGTGCACGCGCGATTGTACTTGGCACGCTTTCTTGAACTCCCGGGTGGGGATGCTTCCGAACGATTTGTTGTTTGAGCAAGACATGACGACGCGCCGGTACGCATATCATGCCCATATCGGCTATCCGATATGATACCCTTTTACCATGTGTTTCGTGTTTCACTGTTGATTGCCTTCCACATGTAGCGCTGTCGCGTATCTCACTTTCTTATTACTTTTGTCTGATATTCGTGTTATTACTTTAACTACTTATACCGCTGTGCGGTTACAATATCAAGTCGGTTGTTCCCCGTTATCCGAGTGTCCACGCTGAGAGCTACATAACAACACGATTCCTGGACATAGTGTTGGAGGAAAGATAGAACGTAGAAGGCGGTGGTGGAAGGAGTAAAGTTGAAGACTTGAGAGGAAGAGGAGAGCTGCTTTTTTTTTTCTTTTACTAAACCGATCAGAGCATTGGTCTTAATAGAATAGCAGGAGAGAGAAGATTTAAAGGATGGAAAAAAAGGGAAGCGCGCGTCTGATCTCGATCCAGCTGCCTTTTATTGTACACGAGTCCATCAATGATGGAGGGATCGACCCTCGACTCGTAAGGAGAGTTTACGAAGGAATCAATTTTCATTTTGTGACTCCAACATTTGCAATGATGAATTTGAATAGCGCTGATGATGTCTAATTTGCAAGAAATACCTCACCTTTGGTGCATATTTTGTCAACGTGCGCAGTGCATGTGCTACGACCTCCTAAAATCAAAGGGCCCCGCTCCGTGGGTTGGCACCTCATGATTTCGGCGTCAAATCATGAAGAAGATCATTCTCGCACATTGTTGTTACTAACTTTGAAACACGTGGGCAACAGGCACCATAAATTCTAAGTAACGAAGCAATCCTACAGTGTTCCATACATACAATTACCTGGTGCTGCCATCGCACCCTCAACCCACTTGCTGCGACAGATTTGCGCCCATCCATACAGCGCTAGTGATGGAAGGGCCGACCTCGATATATTTCCCCCGAGCAGCTCTCGGGAGTCGAGTGGAACCCTACGCCCCGGGCCCATAGAAGATCATGACCCCTTTTCCGTTTTCAACATTGCCAAATCATCGCATCAGGGAGGATTGTGCCAAATGCTCAGAGTACGATGTACTTGATTGGTCGGAGACGGATACGGATGACCTCCCTAGTACGTTCATGCTCATACATGTGAGTCAAGAGACATCAAGATCATCTCTGCGCTTATATGAGGTCGCTTAGCTTTAATTATCAATGGCAGCCGCCGATCAATCTGTTGAGAACCGCGGCAGCGATCGATGCTTACTTATTGATAAATGTGATGCCAAGTCAAATGACAGCGGGTGAACGGAGCGATTCTACATGTTTAGTAGGCTAAAACCTCTCAGCAGTGAATGAGCGGTGGCTTCCATACTATGTAAGAGACTAGACCGCACCATCGTAAATTTTTATGACTTTGCGGTACCGCAAATTGGCAGGCTTAATTTTGAGGTGCGTACAATCAAGCCTGAGGGGTGCCAGGCGACTATCATATTATCAGGGACATCACGCGAGGACCATTGCCAAGAAAACAAGGGAAACTCGAGCTAGGCATCAATGTCCCTGCCTCCTGATGTTGAAATTCCAACATTCGATCCATCATCCGCAACGCGAAACCCCTAGCTTTGTGGTATGCGGAACAGTGGTTACCATTCACACTTTCTCCCTGTTCGGACGACTCCGAGTGACGCCCCACTAATGCGCGATATTCGTGCATAAAAATTTTGGATTCCCTCTAGCTCTCCCTCAAATCTCTGTTACGAGTCTGAGGTGAGAGGTGTTTTCGTGATAACAGATCACTCATGTGTTTTTTAATTGGCGTAGAACACATATGGCCGTAAGTACGTTAGGTATATAGAGTGTTATCAATTATAGATATCTGTTACGAGTCTGAGGGTTTACGCGCCATATAGCCTTTAATATTTAACCTGGTTCCCCAAGCAATGGGGCGAAAAGAAAAATGTTCATTGTGAATAATCAATCCATCAACCAACATCGACCAACAGTCGTTGCTTTGGGAATGATTGCAGCGTAGCAGCGCGAGACGCCTACTAGGCCTGCTGCGGCCCCTAAACCAAACCGAGACATATCTAGGGACTGGCACCGTGCGAAATACATTGCTTGAGGCATTTTCGCGGCGCTGCAAATTTTGAGCGAGTCATTTGCTGCCGGATGTGAGCTGCACATCAGCTGAAATAGTAATAGTAGATCAAACCTGAGCTATTGCTCACGCTGGTTTCAAGCTAGGCTGTGTCCCGCTATTTCCACGAGCTCCAGCCTTACTATCTTCCATAATATTGACCACTCTTTTTCCACCAACAAAACCATCGAAACTTCGGCGCCAAACTGACCTTCAAAAAAACGCGACCCAATCTTTCCCTACAAGACATCACGGTATCAACACTGGAGACGCATAGTCAGTAGGATGCCCGTTTGGAGTCCATGGATTCGCTGCAGGCTGCTGAGAGCCACTGTAGACATATACCCCTGCAAGGGGTCCGGGATTGTCGTGATGAACAGCAAAAGAGGTGCGGGCGCTACGTGTAGTGGGGCGCGGTTGAGGCCTGCATCCAAAAGGGTCGGGAGTTGGCATGAAGGTCCCGTCGAGGGCGACGGGGACATGCTTGAAGGTGGTGCGGAATCCAGCTGATCCCACGGCGCACTAATCTCTACTCTAAGTAAGTTTGAATTGGCGGTTGCGCCCTGTACAAGATCTTTTGCGATGGGGACCTGAGACCCCGGCACCGCGTTGAATCATCTCGCAATCTGGGCAAGCACGCAACTGGAAGCTCCCTCCCCACCTACAATCGTGTCCCCATGAAGAAAAACCGAAGGCCGATTGTTCCTGGTTCTCGAGAACCATCCCAGAAACAGAGCATGACAGCACCTCCGAAGGAGGGGAGTCATTCGCACGTGTCATTTCCTCTCCGAAGGAGACAGTTCCACTGACGTTGACTGGTAAGACTTCCTTCCCAAATTGTCAGTGATCTCAAGCAGAGTGGCGTTGGAGCCGGCGCAGAACCGGACCCCCACCAGGTCAAGTTAACTGCGCCCGCCGAGGACGAAAGCGGGCCCACAGAGGGACGAAATCTGGCGTAGCTTCCACACAAGCGTCCATGAATTGTTGGGTTGGCTTTCTAGGGGGCACTAGTTCCTGGCCATTAACAACGGAGAGTTGCAGAGCAAGAAGAGAGATCCAAAACATCGAACGGTGCGAAAAACCAGGGGAACAATGTCAAAGTGCAACAGCTACGTGATGCCACTAGACAACAGCCCAATATTCGTGTTGAGTTCGCACAATTCCTCTGAGTCTGACTTTGATTGCGGGGCCAACGAGGATGTATTGTAGCGGAGTGCGCCGAATCCATTCCATTCATGGTGTTCCCTCTCAAATTACAATTCAGTTGCTTATCTCTCCCTCTCCAAGCCCTAAGAACTCACACATCCCTTCCAAGAGATGCGCGGAACAGTCTGTTCCGTTTTAGTCCTAGCCTTGTTCTTGGGCACCGTGGCACTAAAACATTCATCGCCAACACTTATCCGCCGCTTCATGTTTGAATAGCTGGGGTGCGCAATCAACCCGTGAACAGGTGTTGGGGCTATCGACAACGCTGTCTTGTTTCCGAAGAGCCGAACACCATATTTAGGCCACCTCCCTACCAGCCGTCGTCTCTTAAGTCTGTTTGCTCGACAAGATCTTAATCGTGATGTCGCTTCAAAGTATGTTAGAGCTACTGCCAACAAAGTTGGATTAAATAGGAGCGTCGACGCCGGATGTACCGAAATCCCTGCGGTCGGTTTGGCCTCGGAATCAGTATTAATATTTGAAGCCGACGATCTTATCATTCAGGTCAGTGTGCTGATGTATACAAGTTTCGGGTCAATTTCCAATCTTTTATGGGCAGGCTAAGAGAACCACCGGGATATCGGCTGCAGTCAACACCGTGAGATCGTGAAGGATTCGACAATCGTAAGCGCTGCTTCTCAGCTGAGATATGTTGGGTCAATGAGTGTGGGCAGGACTCCAGCAATCAACGGAAGAGGTTGCGTGAGAGTAAGATGACTCAAATCCATTGGTGTTTGGGATTCTCGTGCACCTAATTTGCTTACGCGGGCTCTGCTTTGAGGGCGGTGGTTTCACTCTTTATTGTTGGTGTGAGTCGCACCAACAATGAACTGTGTAACAATGAAGACCGAATGAGCCAAATTCGGAGCACGAAGAATATCAGACACTTTACGATGTTGAGTTTTCCCTTGACGCATCCCTACAAGCAGCTGTGTACAGTTCCTCAAGTCTGTTCGCTGATGCCACCGCAGATTTCCAGATACTGCCCATCCTCCTGAGGAGTTGAATGGCCTTCATCATTCCATCTTTGGGGAGGGTGCATCCATAGGTGGCGGAAGTGCTGTCGAGGATTCCTAGATAGTGGATCTTCCCCGCAACATAGGCTATCTGAACGGAGGTATTGTCCATTTTGTCAAGGCCATGTTGAGAGTCAAATCTGTTCAGCAACATGAGGATCCGCTCAGCAGCGGGTGTGGCAGTCTTGAATGCTTGATCACGAAGTTGTGAGACGCGCGTATGATCCTGATCAGAGAAACCAATCTGATGCACGGAACTGGTCACATAACGAATGCTGGAACGGTCTTGATAAAAGGGCTGGTATAGGAGTATGTGCATCCATTCGCCCACAAGATTGACCATTGTCACTTCAGGGGTGACAAGAAGATTGGGATCTTTCACATCAATGCGAAGAGAACCAGGCAGATCCCGTTTCCATCGTTCCAACTGTCCACTGTGCTGAGGTTATGAGTGTGATTGTAATGATCGGGCCCTAGGCATACCTCAAATACTCGACATGGCGAATGTCGATCATGCAATTGCAGACACCATTTTTGCCATACAGAAGCTTCATGGCCGATGAAATGATACGCATTATTTTAGTGTGCCAAATAAACGCAGCATTTAGTGGTCCTGAAACACCAAGCACTGGGGGTTGCAACCATTCCATGCCAACATCCACACCGTAGTCAATTGAGGGAGCCCCAGGAGGTTGATACGGCCCTTCAAAGCAAGGGAAAAGGGTCTGGGGTCGCCCAACATATAAACTACAGCATTTATCCTGGAAAACACAGTTGATGTCATGAAGCCAGTGGCTAGGATGCAAACACGCACGAGTGAATACAAGCTCCAGAAAATACAAGCACGCTGATAATCGATATCATTTGGTGAAGTTGCCACTTTCATGTTTTCTAGATTAACTACTCAACGAGACTTTCAGTCACAACTTACCATTGGCCATTGGAATGACTTACGAGCTTGGGAAACACGGATTGCCGTGCCTGTGAAAGTGAGAGTCTAAATGCTTTTAACCACGTTGTACCTGGTGGAAAACAAACCTAAGTATGTGAAGCTGAGAACTGTTTAGAACGGAGCTTAAACAATGCGCTGATAAATTGTCAAGAAGTGCACATACCTAACTCGGCAGCCCCGCTGTGAAAACAAGACAGGATAGCAAGTGCTTGAACAGTACTCAGAGTCGGAGTTTGACATTCAGTGTCGAAGTGAACTTTGGCTTGCGTGGCGAACCGCTGGCGGAATTCTAGAGACCGGTGTGCTTGATTAGACGAGAAGGCCAATGCGAAGGCCAGAATCCCGTTGTGAAGCATGGGGGAATAATGCACTATGTCCCCACTCACATCCTGCGATAACGCTTGCCTGTAATCGCGGAGGAAACAAGTTGGGTTTACCACCATATTCCAGCTACATGTGCGGGAAAAGTAAGCGCCAAGAACTGCATCATGTTCACTGGAGCCCAGATCGCTGTGTGGCAAGTAACGATCCCAGTGCGGAACATATGGGACTAGATGCGCAGAAGGTGTATCCTCCGCTCGAGTGAGTTCCGCAGTATACTTGATTGCCCACGAACAAACCTACCGGATTTTCCGCATTTGACTGAGTCTGAGAATTCGCACGTCGAGGCGTCAAGCCTGAGGGGTATGGTTCGGTTCTCCGCCGAGTCTTTGGTCCATCTGGTGAGGTGGAAGTTCTGCACGGATTCACCAAGAAGATCAAATTTGACTGAAAAAAATAAATAATAATAATAACGGATGGTAGACTCACCGTGAAGTCATTCCTCTGGCTTACGGCTGTGAAATCGCCAGTGAGACAAGTAACGCAAGCGCTTAAGGTGTAGTATCGACGTCGAACTTTATACCTTTGACAGAAACAGGGTGTTATTTCGTGGCGCACTGAGCCGCGCGGCAGAACCGGGCTGATGAGAAAGCCAATGAATGCACACGTGCGGAAAATGCGGAATATTGGCGTGAACCACGCGGACCAAGAAGCCATTGATATTGTTAAATGGCGGTGCGTGGAAGCCGTTGCCGTCATGAGTGCGCGCGCGCGCGCGGTATTATTCAAATGGGCTATGCATTGTCGCGCGCGGGCGCTATTCAAACTTGCCGCTGACCTCTGGGAACAATACACCATGACCACGGACTTGTCGAATTTATTGTCACGATGGCGAAAAGCTATGAGGGGCCGTGAGCTATGAAATAAGTTACCGGAAAAGTGAGCCACTGCATTGTTAAATTTCGGGTCAATGACATGGAGTCGGCCGGCGCTCGTCAACGCCGAACCATCGAAGCCTGGTACATACTGGTGGACAGACGCATGGCAGAGTTCGTCTGACTCTCCTTCAGCTTATATGCTATGGGGACCGGCACGTTTTCTTGGCATCGAGTGTAGTTTGGCGCCTTGAATCCGGTGCTCAATAATTCCCTCATTTTGTCCACTCTGGGATCTGGGCTATGTGGCGCACTGGGTTGATTCATTTGCGTATGAATGGAATAGGCCCCACAGTGGGCTTTATAAGATCGATTCAAGGAGGGTTCAAACGCTGGAAAATCAACTACTCTATGGGCAAGACGACGACGAAAAGAGGTCCATATGCGTCGGTAGCCTGTAGAGGTTGCTCGGAGAGGCATGTCATCGGCTATTGCGGATCAGTGATTCTCTTTTAAGATATGCATTTCTTCGCAGCCACCAGAGATGTGAACTGAGGGTAGGAACTGCCCCATGGAGCGAGAGCAACCCGTGTGTAAGATGCCATTCAAGGGGTTTGAAGGTAATTATGTATTTACCACATTCCTCCCCTTTCCTGATCCTCCGTCTGCCGTTGCAGTGCAAGGAGCAATTACCAAAAGGTGCGGCCTCCGCTCCCGTGACTTCTTCTAGATCCCGGGCATCCCCAGTTGCTAAGTATCCAGCGTTCGAATCCCTGCCGCTTCCTCCTCGAACGCTCACCGAGTATCAGTATGAACAATGCATACGGGATGGGACCTTGGAGGCTAATCGACTCCTCCCGGCGCCTGCTTGGGGGACATTTAAAGACACTCTATTGTCGGATACCGCAGCCAGTTCGGAGGGTTTAAATCCATTCCTTCACTGCACGGTTATTTTGCCCCAGTTACGCCCCTTTGTAAGTCCTGAGGTACTACAAAAATTCGAGGACGACACAATGTCGTACTTGGGGAGGGAATTCCTCCATCCAACTTTGGAAACCATATGGGGAGCGATCCTGCTCAGTTGTTACATGCGGTCGCACAATCCAACTTGCAGCAAAGGCTCGTGATTTTGTTAGTTCTCGCAAAAGCATACTGACAATTCTGTAGGCCTATTGGGTGCGTGTGGCTTCTGACAAAACCATCGGAATAGATATACTGACGCTGCCTTGGCTGCAATAATTACTGCCACCCTAGTAATTTCACACTGGTGTGAGTTTCGTCTACAATGCATAACATTCATCTTCGCCTTACGGCCCGGTTCTAAGGGTTGAATGGGCTGAACGAGCACGACGGACCCGGGATCGTTCCGGTTGTGATGCTGCGGCATAGACTTGCGGCCCTTATAAAATCTGTGAGTTATCAATCACGGCTAAGAGCCGACTTTAAACACTCTTGTTCTTCAGGATTCTTCCAATACTCAGAATCAATGCCCTGGTGCGCCCTACCCTGTGGCGCAGCAAATAGTGACCGCCGAGCTTCCAGCGAGCTTCCATACAGCTGAACCAATCGGCAGTATGCCCACCGAGCAAGTTTCTCCCCGTCAATCGTCAGCCATTGTCTTCATATTTCGTTTCCCGTTTCACTGACAATTCTTGCGTTTTAGACATGAATTTGGTGGTACCGCTGAGATGGACGAGCCTAGCGCCAGCGCGCCGTCAGGAATGCATGGTATAGAAAACCTCGTCATACCTAGATCGAGCAGTCCTCCTGCGTTCGTACATGGCGGTGTTCTCACCCCCAGCTCGGTGGATGCGCCACTGCCTTGGCATGATAGGACTCTCGACGCTAGCGCATGCATTGGCGGCCGCCTCAGCCGGCCCTTTCCATCTCACCCAACCGAACAATTCCATGACAACACCAAACACCGTTGTCCCTGGTCAAGTGTTCCCCCTTCAGCACTTTAATGCCGTTCATTCCAACGTAGTTAATGCTTCAACAGTTTACGGTCCCCCCGCAACAGAATACGGAACCACAGCGCAACCTCCCCGGAGGTACTCGTACGCTGAGATCGCCCGTAGGGGTTTGAATCTCGCATAATCCTTGCGGAATTATAATTAATCCGCGAGACTGTGGTAATACTATTATCTTTGATGTGATCCTTTCCCACTTACATCCGCAGTGCGAGCGATGCTGAATTATAGTGAAGAGTCCAGATCAGACTTGATCGTTCTCTTGTGTTGATACAGTTTTATACTTGGTTCGTGTTGACGGGTATTTGATTTTATTCAGTCTGGTGGATCTTTCTGTCCCGTAATGTGTTCTTTTGTCTACCTATGTACATGATGGAATGTACTAGAACAGCTAGTGTGGTCCAAAGGTTCAAGAGGAGATAGGGGACTTACCCTGCCAATCTCACCCCGGGAGACGCTCACTGTCAGCGTCATGAAATTTACCGCGGAGCGGTCTTCCAGCGGCGTAAAGCCGCCGAGCCGCCTACGGCTGAGTGGTTTAAGATGGAAATAGACAACGCGCACAACAATATCAGCTGTACTATGGTGTAGTTATTGGACCCACAGTCCGAGCCCATTTGGATCCGAGATTCTCGCGGAGCAACAGCCATGCGTTTTCCCCACATGCAGCCGCGCGTCACGAAACGCTTGTTGGGTGTGCCGCGGCCCCTAAAACCGGTCACGACTGGTATGCTCCAAAGTACACACATCTTCGGATATTTCTGTCTTGTTGAAATGGCCTGGCGACCTTGAGTCTTGCTTATCGTTGCTTGGAGGCTTGGATTTCGAACGAGGCATTTGCTGCTGCATGCGGGCAACGCATCGGCCAAGGAAATGTGAAATCCTAGGTGTCTAAGCAACGACGTCCAAGCTAGTCCCTTCTCACCCTTTTCCTAATTTGCGAACCTCCTACTCCTCCCTAGACTGAGTGTCTGCCATAGTATTGACTGCCGTCTCGCCACTGTATCTTCTTGTGGAAGTCCTTCTATTCTGCTGAAGGCACTTTCGCGTCAGTCGATGTAGAATATGAGTATTAGCATAAAACGAATTGACATAAAGGAAAAGCGCCCGGTATCGCAAGTCAATGTATCAACTAGGAAAACAAGGATTCTTATGCATACAAAATCTGAACGGATAGAACAACCATTGTCGGTCTGTCTGCTGGGGGCAGGCCACGAGCAGGGCGGCAAGCACGAGAACATGTCTGCAGGTACACCGGTTCCAACATTCGGGTCAATTCCAGGACCCGAAGGATGTACTGCTTGGAGCAAATGGGCAGGGTCCCGTCTGTGCTCCCAACCTTCTGTTATACTCCGTGGGCGCTTGTGCTGTGCGTTGTGACCCAGATTTCCCGGGGGGTCAAAACGGATGGTGCAGACGGTGGTCTCGTACGTTGGATGCTGGGGGGGCCATCACAACTGGTTCATACCCGCTATTCCTCGAGGTTTAGGGGAAGGCCTAATGCACTATTCGATGATTGAATGAGTGTGACGCTGACACCTCACTCCGTCTAAGAGATTTGACATACATCAACCTTCGACTTCTGACAGGTTGAACAGCTTGCGCTTCCGATATTCCAGTCTCTGTTGCACCTGGGCTTACGCCTCCTGAATTGGAATGATTTTTTCAGTGCCTGCTCCCCATCCCGTCTTATCGGCGATGGCAAGCCACTTACGATTGGCGGCAAGTAAGGCAGGCGTGGTTGTATTTGCGGCGTTTTCGCGAACGCCCAGGCGGAGACGTTCCCGAAGGGCTATTGGACATAGTTTTTGGGAGTTGGGCAAAGGGGTGAAGAATAAAAGAGAGCGAGAGATGAAAAAAAAAAACGGAAGAGGTCAGACTATTCCCTTTTTATCTCGCAGAGAATCAGAGGCCCCAAAAGAGGGATGTTAGAGTGGTTTAGAAAAGGTGCCCAGGGTGCTCTGCGAGGAATGGCCTTGCCTCGAAAGTTCCATTCTGTACCTGATACTTGGATTCGATGAGCAAGTCAGATCGAAATGGCGAGTGCTCCAAGCTGGATACTGGGAAACTGTGGATGTGCAGAACTCCCAACCATGAGGGGACAGAAGCAGAGTTGAAGTTTTCGGCAATTGCTGGCTGTTCGTATAGCGGTGGATCTATGAATGGCAAAAAGGGGAATACATGAAAAATGCGACAATTAAATGCCTTAGAAGTTTTAAATAATATCTCAGACATGAATTGGTCCCACTCACTACAAACAAAAGGCCCGGGGTCCCCGATTCGCGCTAGAGTTGGATTCAGGACTCGGAGCTACCCGGGAATCCCACCACCCTCCCGTCACTACTCCTATGCTTTTGCCGCCGATTTTGACCTCCGTCATGCCATAGTTAATCCGAACAGATTACGGGACGGTTTTGAATTCATGACCCGCCACCCATGCGTGCGGCTTCTGAAGACGGCCATCCAACACTCCTTCCTGTCGCGTGTCTTTAAAGTTGTAGTCACTTGGAGATTTGGATGTTGAAGGTGAATTGCACGTCGGCAGAAATTTGACATGACTCAAGCAGCGACGTCATCCGGGCCAGTTCCAAAACAGAGACTTTACCGAACTTTCTAACTCCCGTTATCAATTATCTTGCATTAGAATCATTCTTCCTCATCGCGGCCAAAAGAGCAACCTAAGATTACATAGTGACATGAAGGTAAAACGAGAAACAAAATGCAAATACAAAGACAAGTGGATCGAACATATATATCCTTTGTTGGTCCGTCTACCGAGAGCGGATAAGCTGCAAATCCTACGAATGTGTATGGGGGCAATAATCACGATAATACATGTGTATGCTAGGCCACTCTACCGGTGACCACCAGCTCCTTTCCACCTGATCCCATTACTGGTGCCTGGATTTGCGTTGGGGTAGGGTCCCATCTGCGTCCCAACCCCTCCGTTATGCCCTGTCAGCGCTTGTGTCATATTACTGGCAGAGGTGTGCGTGGCAGCCCAACTTTGGTGGTGTGGATTCTGTGTATGTGGCATACGCGATGGGCTTGAATGCTGAGCGAGGTGTATGAAAGGTGGGGTGGGGTAATTGCGAGGGGAGTTTCTGGGAACTTGCTGATATCCATTATTTGATGCAACGAAGGCACCCGTCCCTCCGACGCTATGTGTCATTGCCTGTTGGGCAACGGCACTTGGACCCCGTGCCGGAAGCGGTGAATGTATAGTAGGACACCCGCCAGAATTGGGGGCGCATTGATTGAATGCAGGCTGCTGCGCGTCATGGGCACTGGGGCAAACGATACCGTCATCATATACTCCTGCAAGGGGATTCGGGACTCCTGTGACAAATGATGAAGGAAGCAGGGACGCCGGGTCCACCTGGATGGTGTTGGAACCGTTGGAAGGGCCCGCGAAATCCGGAGAATTGGGATGAGGAAGCTGGCGCCAGGGTCCAGCTGGTGCAGGCCCTTCCATCCATAATGATAGGAACTGTTCCGCAGGTGGTATGAAATTCAGCTGATCTCGCGGCACTGTAACCCCTAAGTTAGTCGAGTTGATCGTTTCACTCTGCGCAGGAGCTTTCACAATGACAGGCTGGGACTCCTGCTTGTGCCTTGGCGAGGCGGATGGGCGGCGCTGGATCATCTCGTGATTTGGCTGAACACCCGACCCAAGACCCGCTTCCTTAGCCTATAGGTCAGACGTCGCAGAGTCTCAATCACGAACCAAACCAAAGAATTACTATCCGATGACGTACGAGAGCACGGACTTGATCCAAGAGGCGGTCGATCTTGTCGCGAGACGCATCCCTCAACAAAAAGCGCTCGTCACACGAACTTAACCCTGTGAGATGGTGAGCGGTAAGTTACATGGGAACAAAAAAGGGTCACTGACATCCTTGTGCGTTATCTGATGTGGTTCGAATTTATCACGTCACTGTTAGTAACTCGTCGATGCGCACGCAACTAAGTAAACAACTGACGGAGAAGATCTTTCGCTATTGAGGACACGGATCAGGAATGAGAAAGTTTCAGATTTCAAGGGCGTATTTACCAAAGCGAAAGTGATCCTTCGATCTAGACAGCCACCACGACAGTAAAGTGGCAGCCATAACCGTGGCTAGAGTTGGGATCTCGGATTCCTTCCCATAAGCTTCTTTGGTAGGGTCCAGAAGCTCCCTAAAGCCATCCTCCCTGGGATCTTTGTTTACGAGACGAAAGACGAGAAGCAGCATTGGACTGAAATGTTCATGATCGTCAGAGCTCACTTCTCTTGAGAGCCAAGAGCGTTGCACAAATCGCTGTTCGTTGAAAACACCAGGAAAGTGGCGGTTCGCATAGTTAATGCCCTTGCGTAATCCGGTATTCTGTGACACATTATCTCCAAAGGGTTGTCGTGAATTCACAAATAAAAAAAAACGACGGGCCCTCGCACCTAAATGCGGCTCAGCTTGAGCAGCATAAGGAATGGTGTTGGCCATGTTCATCCGATCCTTCGAGGTTCGAGGTTTAGGCGCCAGCCTGATGCACTTTATAATTGTTGGGTGAGTATGGCGCTGAATCTTGGCTCAATCCAACAGCATACACGAGTCCCCCAATTCAGACAATTCAAACAGCTCCCTCCTTCAATTTCCCAGTCTCTGTCACATTTCCGCTGACTGAGGCAGAGAGAATATTAGTGGGCAGTGCTCTCTCCTCATCTCCATCGTTGTCAGCGATGGTGGGTTACTTACGCTTGCTGACAAGGATAGCATGCGCGGTTGTTCTTGCGGCGCCTCTGTGAACCCTCCGGCAGAGGCATTTCTGAAGGCTCTGCAGACGCAGACATACTATAGGCTGATGGCGACAACCAGGGAAACAGAAGATGGCGGGAGGCAAACTTGAATCCTGGGGGAAGGTGAAAGAAAGAATCATCTATCTTATGTGAGGGTAATCGCGATACGGAAGCAGAACAATTACGCTTCAACCAGGCTACGCATCTCGTTTCAGTTCCGTTCAGAAGCCTTGACTGCTTCGCAGTAGGCAGATCCGCACAATAAGTAGCGGATCGAGGAAAGCGGAAATGCGTCTGGCGCCGAAATGGGAGGGTCTTCGATTCAATTTCAATTTTTCAGGCAGACCAAAACAAGGTGTTTTCAAATATCTGCTCGCGAAGGCGCCTATGCTGTATCCACTGAGCGAAGCACCGCCCAGAAAAAACCTCTGCATCCGTCTTGCTCGCCTATATTGCGTATTGGTCATTCTGGCGTTTCATGATTTCTGGACCAAGCAGAGCACACTCACCTATGTTGTAATTAACTAAACGAGCTTACAGACGCGTCACGGAAGCGCGCTTTATCTGCTTAGGGTGCACAGCGTTCCATTTCCCGCGTGCCTGTCCTGTAAAAGCAAGCAAGTGTGTTATGCAACCGGTTACTAGTAACTACTGAGATACTTAGGTTGACCTCACTCGCTTCCACGTCACCCTGAACACCCACCTGCTGCTGTGCAGATCCACACGCAGTCCCACCCGCTGACGCTAGGAGGAACAACCATGGACGACTACTTGCAGTTGAATCGCGGCTGGTTTCCCGATTCAGGACGAGAGAAAGACCGACCTGGGCCCGGCGGTCCCTGCAAAATGATGTGGCTAGGTCTCGGGAAGACGGAAACGTCTTGGCGCTCTCACAATTAGCATAATATTTGATTGGTGACAATTGATGAACCAGCCCATCCAGAACCTGCGACCATAAGCAACAATCAAGTGACTGCGCAATGTTTGAAGTTGGGGTATCAACGTACGCTGCGACTACTCGAGGTTGCGGCGTGAGCTTGTACACGATTCAAAGTACCCTGCTAATAAAGCGACAATTCCCGCTACATGTACTCTGTAGCAGGTCCTGTAGATTTAGAGGCTCCTGATTGAATGGGAAAATTGACAAGGTCCTTTACCCCCGCACATATAACCTAGCTGTTTCTCTCTTGGATGTAAAGTCCATACGGAACCGAATGATTTTTCAGCGCTGCTGAGTAGCGGGTTCTGCCGCGTCAGGCGGCGTCCACCAGTTATTTTTTTTTATAAAGCGACTATTTTTTTATTTATGTCGACTCGTTTTCGAACAGGCCCAAAGGTCTAATTTACATTGCTTCTTCGATAAATTTAAAATCAAAATATCCTTTTACTCGATCTCCCAATGTGTATTTATTTGTAATCGAAAACGAATATTTGCAGATACATAATTCAAAACTGAACCTCCATATATATTTAGCTGTAGGATTTCAAGACGCCCGTCTGGCGTCGTCCTTATAGTTCTAGGCCAATTGCGCATCACCGCCTCTCGCACTTTTCTTTTCTATCGCTTGATCCGTGATATTATATAAATACTCATTCAACCCCTAGGCCCGCGTTATGTTACGCGTCAATGGGCCATGTAAGAGCACAGTATTTCTCGTTGCTTCCTCCCCTGGACAATGAGTAGGGTGCGTAAATCAGTGCAGCACGACCCCGAATGAGTGCGGAAATTGGCAGACTCAAATACAATCATGTCAATTCATTCAGCATCCATCGTTCGGGCAATAACGGCAACGCGGAACATCCTGGGCCGAGGACGCCGCGCCAGACCAGGCTCACGACGCTGATGAGGAAACCGAAAGGCATCCGCAGGCTGGCGAAGTTCATCAAGAAATCATACACCATCCACAAAAGGAGCGGCCAACACGCCGCACCATCCGAGGGAGCAGGAGAGCGCTGCCGACCTGGAGCACACGAAGGAGATACAGAGGAGCATGAACACTGTAGACCCACACAGCCAGACACCCCGACGCCACAAACTAGAAAACTTCTTCACCCCGACCACACTAACCAGTCAGTCTATCGAATGTTACGAATTCATAGAGGCTGAGTCCTGCCTAACCAGACAGTGTGTTTCGGACGGCCGCACTGCCACGTATCAACGCAGGTAACAAAATAGAGTTCAACAACAACGACATGCAACGCGCGTCAAAAGACGCCCACTAGCAACAGGCCACCACTGTTAACTAGATCGATCATATATGAGGGCTGCCGACACGACATCATATGTCCGCCTCTTAAGACATTTTCATATCGTGACGACGCTGCAGCAACCTTAAGTCTCTTCGTTGTTTGGAGGCTTGGGCTTTGAGCTGGGCATCTGCCTCTGGAAGTGAGCTGCACATTGGCGAAGATGACAGAGGCCCAGGCGTCCAAGCAGCGACGTCGCTCAGGCTCGTTCCAGGCTAGGTCGCGTCCGCCCTTCACTAAAGTTCCAAGCTCTAGTCGCCCCTTCTCCCGATGTTCACTGTCCTTCATAGCACCGGCGGGCTGTATCTTCCTGCTGGCAGGCCCACTGAACCTCGGTGCTGGTTTGGTATGCATGAAACACAGATGACCCCATAGACAGCGCTTGCACTTAATGCATCAGTGCCAGAACTACTTTCTCGAGGTTATGAACTTGAAGAAGCCCCCCTCACTTCACCAAGAGTACTTCCATATCATGGGAACGCGGGCGTTACCACACAATATGACAAAACCGGCTGTTATGTATCAAGGGAAACCATCGCAAGAGGCGAATGTGTCAATCACGAAAACAAAAAATCTGACGAATATGAATGATAAATATCCTTTGTTGGTCTGTCTACCCGGAGTAAGGTGCAAACTGAATACGAGCAGGGAGGCATAACGCAAGAACACCGGTTCTAACATCCAGCCTCATTCAATGATCCAAGGAGCATACCACCTCGAATACCCAATGGAGTTGTGTCCAAACAAGGTCCCGCCTGTGTCCCCATCCCTCCGCTATGTCCCGCGAGCACTTGTGTCGTACCATAGGGGCTATACATGGCTTCCAAGGTTTGCTGGTGCGATTCAGACGGTGGGCTTGGGTCCTGAACAGTGTATGTAACCCCAATGGAAGGCAAGGCAGAGTATCGAACATGGTGATTGGGGGAGGCCATTGGAACTGAACCACTCAATGCAAGGGATGAACCCCAACTTTCTACGGGACGTGTCGTAAGTGGTTCGAGCACGGGATTGGGGAACGATGCCGGAAGTGGTGGATAGTTAGGGTGCTCCCCAGAACCATGGCTCAGTCGGCTGAACGAAGACTGCTGGCCGAGGAAACTAACATTACCGTCACAATATGTCCTTGGAAATGGCGCCCCCTGAATCGTTGGCATGGGTGGCGGAGGCACGGAGGACAGCGTGGTGCTGTTGGAACCCTGTGAATCCAAAAGGAAAGCCTGAAATGAAAGTCCAGCCGGTGCTGACCACCCCGTCAATGCCGATGCAGAACTCGTTGGGCCTGACGGACTAATAGTTTTACGCTGTGGAAGAACTGTCGTATAGGTAAGCGATCCCTGCCCCTTCGGTGATACGGGTGAGGAAGATAGGGGTTGGGTCATTTGCTGATTATGGTGAACATGAAAGTTCTTGGTCTAGAGGTTAAACAGCATGGAGTTGATTCAGCTGCAAACTACTGGAGGCACTGTTATCCGCTGACACACCAAATCACCGACTTTGTCCAGTAGGTGGCAGATCTTGAAGAGAGGTACACTCCTCAGAAACTCGCGCTCGCCATATGAATCTAGCCCTGTGAAGTGGTCAGCGCTGCGGGATGATGGATGCGAAGCAGTGGGACAGACATTCACGGGCAATAGCTGATGGAATTAGCGTTGATCATTATTCTGTGAGCCACTCGCCGGTCCGCGTGCACCGAGTAAAAACAACTTGCCTAGCAAATCTTTTGCTGTTGAGCACATAAGTTAGGGGGGCCATAAAGTTTCAAATTCAGAGCATATTCACCAAACCGAATGTGCTGCTTCGACCTTCGGGGCAGCAACCACGAGAGCAGAATGGTAGCCATAACAGTGGCGAGAGTTGGAGTCTCAAACTCCCTCCCATAGGCTCCTTCCGCAACATCAAGGAGCTCTCTGAATCTTTCCTCTCCAAGGTTCTTGCTAAAGAGACGAATGACGCAAAACAACATCACACTGAAGTGTTCATGATCGTCGCTATTCATATCTCTATCGTGTTGAGAGCGTTGGTTGAATCGTTCTTGGTGGAAAATACCAGGAAAGTGGAAATTGGCATATTGGATCCCCTCGTCTATTCCGGCATCCGGCAGTACATTATCTGCAGGAGATCTCTGGAAATCCCGATCATGGTCTCGAGTAGTCGGGCCTGCCGGAATTCCCAGAGAATATGAGGAATCAGGATGGCAAGAAAAATGGGCTGTCACACCTGAGTACAGGGGCCGAGCGAAGTTCATGAGATGACCACGAGCGGGAGTATTAGCGGCGTTCATCCGGTTTCTCGATGCACGAAGTTTAGGCGACTGTCTAGTGCACTGTTCGATCGTTAGTACGAAACCTGGCTCGATCCAGCAAACTTGACGTACATCAATCCCCAACTTCTCACACTTAGAACATCTCCCTCCTTCGATATTCCATTTTCTGTTGCACTTACGTTTGTCCCGACTGAGTACGAGGCAGGATGTCAGTACTCGTCTCCCCTCCAACCCCATCATGACCTGTGATAGCGAGTTACTTACGAGCGGCGGCAAGCACAGCATGCGCGGTTGTACCTGCGCGGTTGTTGTGAACCCTCAGGCGGGTATGTCTCCATACAGTCGGGAAAGTGCAGGGGAGGAAAGATGAGAAACTAGAACGTTGGACAGGGCATAAGGACGAAGCTGATTCAAGTTCAATTGGCCCTACTTCAGGCGGAAGTGCGGAAAGCGGAACATATTGCGCCTCAAGCAAAAGCACAGACGCGCGTTTCTTTAAATTGAATTGCTCAGCCCCACCCCCGTTAACCCTTGCCCAAATCCATTGGACGATGAATAGGGAAAAGACTACGGAAGACGAACCGGCCCAGGGGGATAGATTTGAGTTGTCGCAAGATGGCCAATATTTTAAACGCCCAATCGCACGGGTCGCCTCGTGTCTCGGTGCGTCTACTGAATGAACCCCTAAATGAACCCCTGCCTTCACTTTGTGTGCCTGCGTGATCATTCTGTCGTCTCATGATCTCTGGACCAAGCAGAACATACTCAATTACCTTGTAACTGCTTAGCGCAAAATGGGCTTGCAAGCGCTTCATTGTGTTACTGTCGCATCGAAGCAATCAAGCGCCCAATACGATCAGTTAGCTGAAACTTTCGGCTGATCTGCCAAGGACTTCTCACCCTCACGCTACTCTGGGCTCGCAAAGGTTGGTCGCAAATAACGTCCAATTCTGGTCAAGCTGTACCCGCGCCAACGAGGGGACGCCCTCCGAGTTGGTCAGGACAAATGTCTTGCAGACAGCACATGTCCCCGTTCGATCAATCGTCAATCGGCCCATAATTCACGTGATCGCAACCGCGACTGTAAGCGACGAAGATATGCCGTTCAACAACTAGACCTACTGGCGGCCAGCACTCATGATGAAGTTTCAGGGCTAAGCAACCTAGCTTTAGCATGTGCACTACAGTTCCGGCAAACAGCACGTAGTGTCAGAGGCATGCTTGTGTCATAATGTCAGGACGAACAAAGGAAACTAAGTACATGCCCCTTATCGCTTCCTCACAATTGAGGAAACGCGTAGATCATGGGCCCAGAAGAATGTGAAAATTTAGCGGAGACAAATAAATCATATGATGGTACACAACGAACTATCCATTCAAGATCGATCGCCCCATCTACGGTCCAGCGCACATTGACCAGGCGCACCCAAATTACCATCAGATATCCAGATCCTATCTGAAAACCACTGATCTTGTACTGTCTGTTACATGTGACCCCCCGGGACATTCTCGTGCCGTAAGGGAAGAGGCCTCGAGTCCCGCCCGTTGTTGCCTGGAGGTCTGGACTTTGAACCAGTGATTTTCTACTGCGTGTGAACCGCATGTCTATGGAAAAAGTAGGAGCCCAAGCGTCCAGGCAATATCGTTGCTCGGGCTAGTTCCCAGCTACACTATCGCTCTACAAAAGTTCCACACACCCTGTGCTCAGCGCCGCAGTGTTGACCATGCCCTAGCCACTGTGTATTCCCGCCAGCTTGCTGGGACTTCGACAGAACATAGTTTCAATAAATCCGTAAAGACGGCTGGCCCCCACCGCATCGATCTCCTTACGCCAGAACCAATTCATCGTTATCGTGCATCCCAAAGTATCTTGGGAGCTTATAGAGGTGTTCACTGAAGGAACTTTTGTGTTAGCCAATCCGCGACTGTCGCAGGAGAATGGCGTTGCTTCACAACGTGAACAGGATCCGAAGCAAAATTGTCCATAACCACTACTATCAAAGGAGTCAAAATGGAAACGCGTAGAAATGGAACATATCCTTTCTTAGTCTACCTGCTAACTTGGGGAGTGGACCTCAAACTCGACAAACGAGCGTGGGGAAATGGTCGTAACGACGTGTCTGCGCAGTTATCCGTTTCGACCCCCAGCCTCATTCCAGTGAAGGTGCCATGAACTTGTGTTTGGACACCCCATCTGCGGTCCAATACTTCCACCACTATAATCCATTGGTGTGTGTTCCGTACCATGTACAGGATCGTGCGCGAGGGCCCAAGGTTGCTGGCATGTGCTTGGTGCGGACAGCGGGAATGATAGACCTTGATGTTGAACAGGGCGTGGAAAGTTAGGGGAAGCCGAGTTAGACTGTCTAACATTCGGCCTATATTCGTGATCCCGTCCAAAGGAAGGATTTGAATTTCCGACGGGGTGTGTAGGGGACTGGAAAGTCGCATTCGGAAATTGCTCTGGGAGTGAATGCCCATCAGGATTTCGGGTATCTTGGCCGAATGTGGGGTGTTGGGTGCTATCGTCTTCGAAGTCAACATCGTCATTATGATATACCCCTGCCAGGGGGGCGTTCGTGGGGCGTTGAAAAGGAGGCTCCTGGTATGCTGCACTACTGTTGACGTCGTTGGAGGGGCCTACGAAACCCTGCGAACCGGAGGGCAAAGGCCGGTATGATGGCCCACCTCTGGTCGATGGTAATGGCAATACGGAATTCACTGAATCCAACCCATTAGCAGGTGAACCCTGCATGGAAGCTGCAGGCTGAGACTTCTTCCCACGCCTTGGCGACCCGGATGGCCGACGTTGGGTCGTTCCACGGTTTGAGTGGATCCGCAACTTGAAGTTCCTTTCCTTTGCCTATAGGTCAGACGTTACAAGGCCTCAGTTTGGAGTGAACCAAGGAATCATAGTCGAGCACGTACGAGGGCGCGGACTTTGCTCAGGAGGCTTTTAATCTTATGCCGAGCCACATTCCTCAGGAAGGTGTGCTCGTCACAGGAATCTAACCCTATGAGATGGTCGGCGATAAGATACATGGACACAAAGAGGGCCACGAACATCCATACGCGGCGTCTGGTGTGGTTGGAGTTCATCACATCATCAGCAACCCGCCGTTCACACACTGAGTAGAACAACTTGCTTAGGAGATCATTTGCTAGTGAGGACATTAAGGGAGGTAGAGGAAAAGCTAGAGAGATTTTATTCACCAAACTGGTGCCTCGAGCTAGGCAGCTGATGCGATAGCATCATGGTGGCCATAACGGTGGCCAGAGTTGGCAAGGCGGACTCCTCCCCATAGGCCTGCGTGGCCTTCCTAAGTTTGTCTCCCCCAATTTCCTCGCCAAAGAGATCAAGGACTCGGAGCAACATTATACCAAAATATTCGTGGTCATCACCCACGTCTCTTGGGAGCCACGACCGCTGCTTGAATCGGCTTTGATCGAAAACGCCACCAAAGAAGAGATTTGCCCACTCAATGGCCGAGGCCATTGACATATTCTGCGGCACGTTGCATGCAGGGGGTTGTTCGAAACCCCCATAATGGGGACTTTCCCCACTGGCTAGATCGATGCCTTCAAAAGATAAATTATGTGATCAATGAGTGGCGAAGTGATGGACCATCATACATACTTAAATGTGGCTCAGCCTGTGGGACTTCTGGAATGGCGGGGTACGAGATGCCTGTCGTGTCCACCCCCTTCTTCGATTTCCGAGACTTGGGGTGGTGTGGAGTGCACTTCGCGATTGGTGAGTGAGTGCGGCGTTGAAAATAACGAGCGTGACGCACCTCCGAGTTCCAACCCTCACATTGCGAACATTTCTTATCGGACTCCCAATTCCTATCGCATTCGCGCTTACTGTGTTAAAATTGGGATTTTAGGTTCTGCTCTCATCCCATTATCGTTGTCGACATACTTTTGGTGGCACCAAGTGCATGCTTTTGGATTGCGGGGTTTCTTGTATACCTTTCGACGATTCTCGGAGCGGGAAGCTTCGGTGGGATGTGCCTTCATGCTGTTGGGGAGATGGGAACAGGAAGGATATAGACCAAAGGATAAGATAGGAGGGAAAGTTCAAAAGAAGGCGAGAGAAAGTCTGTCTCTCGACCATCGTAATTCTAAGTACGAAAGGCCCTGTATCGCGCCTAGTTGAAGGGGAATGTGAAGTGTAAGCGCGGGCCCCCCATTTCAAATAAGTACTTTGCAGGACTCTCCATGCAATGATGAATGAATTGAGAATGAGGCAACATAGTTGAGACAGACGGATTGGGCACCTTCAAAAGTTGCGTATGGACACCATTTTAAATTTACCATATATTTGATTTGACGCCGAGATGGGCATTGGGCGGTGTTTGCGACCATGCGTTTGCACAGGATATCTGCCTTATCTCTCGTGTGCACGCATGCTGCTCCCATAAAGGGGGCCGTAGCCCCTAAGGCAACCGCAGCTCCCACTTTATGCCCCGATGATCCAGGTTGATCATTCTGGTTTCTCGGCCAGGCAGAACACACACTTGCGTTCTGACGGACTTTGAAGCGAGCTTGTGTCATGGACGCGTGATTCAGTTGTTATGGTGTGTTTCGCCGCCGGCAGTTGCACTTACCGTGCAAGCAAATATTGTATCATAATAAGTTGAAATTCGTGCGCTATCCACTCACAAACCGCTTCCTTCTGCATCACCTTGAATCCGCTTGTTACAGTTGAATTGAGCTTTGGGAGCAAGCTTCAAGCAAACAACGTCCAACTTTAGTTACTCCCATCTCAACGAAAGGCTCATCAATTTCCCCCCGACTGGCGTCCGGAAGTACCGGCCCACAGCCCGTGCCCCTCGAGAAATCCTATCTTGACGCGTGGATCCTTTGAGTCAACAACGCCACTTTTCCGTTTTCAGCGTTGCAATACACACCCGATAGTAGATATGGGTGTGCTTGTGCATGCATGTGGTACCAGGCTTTTCTTGGATGAATTACAAGGAGGCCAAGCTTCCCTTTCGTATGTTTAGCTCTATAGGGGGATGTGATATTCTCTGAAGGAGGTATAAGGAACGCCACTCCTACCTAGATATGATATGATCCCTCCCTAATATAGGAGACCACCAATCAGCAGTTCCTTTTGGCAGATCAAAATCTTCAGAAGCAGTCCACCGGCCTGAGCGCCGAGCTATGGTCAAATAGCCCCCCAATATATCAATCAATAGTCGAAGGTGACGGGTGCCTAATAAGGATGCTTCAAACAGCTCTGACCGTATAACTCCTGTGTTGCCTTCACCCTCAGCGGTTGCGGAATCGAGTGATTTCCGTACCGCTGAAAGATTGTTCCGTCGCAAAATCCATGGCGCTGCGCTGGCGGTTAGCAAGAAGAAAGTGGCGGAGTTGCGGAATTGGTCGTTTCTCTATCTCGTGAGTCTTTGAATAACGTGTTCTAGACTATGGGGACGTACAAACAGAAATACCGAACAACACATTATGGGGAACATGCCAGTCCAAATGAGAATGAGTGCAGATCAATACTAAAATCAAGACAAATCTCCCGGATAATTGGAAAATCCTCTAAGGTGTTGATCCAAAATCTATCACGATAATCGGCGTATAGTCATACCCCAAATATCGACCGATGTAAAGAAGGGGGCGGCGGGTGTTAAAATCAAAGATAACCAGAATTTATCACAACGTGATTAATAGTGTTGCCGCGCGGATTGCGTTGAATTTAAACCCCTGCGGGCGGCCTCAGCATACGAGTCCTTCCTCCGCGGTTGCGATATGATTCTGCGCTCTGGTGCTGTGAAAATGGAACTCGTTGAAGCATTAGACATGTTGTTTGGGTGAATAATGTTAGAGTGTTGAACGGGGAACACCTGACTGGGAGCGACGGTATCCACCGCTCTCGTGGGCGCAAAATTAGTACTGTTCAGATGCAGAGGACTCAAGAAACCAGCTGGAGCGGCCGCCAACGCGGGCGCTGGTGTGAAGGGTTCTATCATGTATGGCGGCGGCGCGCTCACCGAGCTGAGGACATCGCTGTGTGCAGAAGCAGAAGGACTGTTCGCTCTGAACGTGACAAGGGTTTCAACTCTTTGCGCTGTTGACGGCGTGCTCGTGCTAAGCTCGTCGGTCTGAGCGGCACCACCAATCTCATACCTAGAGATGTAAGGATTTTCAGTCAACTGAAGAAGGAAATGAAGATAATTGGCTGACGAGTGACGTGGAGAAATTTGCTCGGTGGGCATACCACCGATTGGCCCAGCGGTAGGTAAGCTTGTTGAGAGCTGGTTGTTCACTATTTGTTGTTCCACTGAGTAAAGGCCATAGCTATTGGAAGGACCCTGAGAGCAAAAAGTTGAAAGTTGGCCTTTAATAGTGGTGAATGGCTCACGGGTTCCGCAAGGTTTGCGAGCACACGCTGCCAAAAGGCAAGCTGAATGTTTTTAAGTCCATCATGCTGATTCACCGTGGACCACCCTTAGAAGCAAGCGGTGAGGCGAAGAACCTCATGGGCGGTGCAAAAGAAACATACACGTGTGTAACATTGCTGGGAGAATGAAAACCATCGCAGCCAGGTTACGTCAGAGTGTTTATTCCGAATCCAAAAAAGACGAACCGCATACCTCGTAGATCTGGTGGAAGAACAAAACCATCAGTATGGCTTTTCAGGGGATCAACAAATCCACTAGCCTCTGCTACAGGTTGGTTTGCGTGACTGCATGTAGCGAATAAGCAAAATCGTCCCCAATATAGTTTCCCAAGTTGGATGGAGAATCTCCCTCCCAAAATAAGACATCGTGGCTCCCTCAAATTGTTGTAATACCTCACTGCTTACAAGCGCAGGAAGCTGTGGCAAAATGAGGGAACAGTGAAGAAATAAATTCAAAGCGGTTGCCACGTTAGATAAAAGAGTATTTTTGAAGACTTCCCAAGCAGGCCCTGGAAAAATTTGGATAGCCTCAAGAGTTCCCCCTTGTACGCATCGTTCATATTGCCAATCGGTGAGTGATTGAGCGGGAAGTGGTAATAATCCCAGGGCCGGAAATCTAAGAACTACAGACTTGGGGTGCGTAGAATTACGAGAAGCGCTGGCGCCAGGGGCTGAATCTTTTGGTAATGGCTTTTCGCACTTGAACGGGAGAAGGATGATTGAATGCTGAGTGAAGAAAGGGGGAAACACTGGAATATGTAAATACCTTCAGTCCTCTTGAAATGCATCTCACACACGGATTGTTCTCACTCCAAAATGTACTTCCCCCATTCATTATACATCTTGCATGGCTAAGGAGAGATAAGAGTGAACCCTTGATTCGTACTGGCGGAGGACAAGCCTTTTTGAACAGTGTCTGCAAGCCATCGAGACGTATGGACCTCTTTTTGTCGTGGGTTCGGCCATATTGAAGCAGTCAGAGATCTGGGGTGCGAAGCGCCGGCTTGCTGAGGCTTTATAAAGAGGCCGCGGAAATGATTTCAATTATAGGAAATTAAATTGAAGCCAGTGCACATGAATCGATAGAGCACTGCTTTCACGATCCCAGGCGCCTAACGAATAAAGGTTACCGAGAGTGACTCGGTGGCGAGGAAACACCTGATGTACAAGTTGGGATGACGAAAATAGTTGTTGGTTATGAACCTATGAGGGATAGTCCGTCTATGGTAGATACAATGTTAGATATAAGAACAAACCAAGCCTGAAGGAATGGAATGAATGGCGCGACATGACATTTTGATATGATGCTGACACGGTCCTCTAATCATAAGCGACAAGCATGGGTCATGCATCGGAACTATCCGAGGTTTTCCCAGGCTATTGCATTCCTCTCTGTCACTGTGTCAGCTGCGACACGCACCCCTCAGTCACAGCGCCTTGTTATCGCAGCCGCCAATATTCTCTAGGCAGAAACATCCAAGTGCCTGAACCTGGTTCCTGCTGTCACGGCACAGCTATCTGATCACCCCATTAAATTAAATCCATGGCCGCGCGGGGATCCATTCATTCAACGTCATCTGGTTTTTGAATAGCGCTCCAAGTATCGGATGCGCGCGTTACCGTGTATATTTCACTTTGTCACCACTGTTTCTGTGCACGGTCTCACTACCGCGCGCGACCCCACAACGATTTATAAAGCTTCAATAACGCTTTTCAGGGTCTCACCCCCTCTATCGCCTGTCCTGACCTAAGCGACCTCTGAGTCATACTCCTGCTGTCCGCAGCTTCGAAGCTCACAACACGATGGCCTCGCGGTGAGTTGACTATTCGGTATTACCGGTCTTCATCTTCTCCTAACGGCGCATAATTGGTGCAGTGCAAGAACCTCCACCTCACCGGATGGCGCAAAGACCCGACGGAGGGGTGATCCTTATTCCCGACCTTCAAATCCCCAGAATCAGTCCAATGTTGAAAATCCGGTAGGTCTGTTCGTGAAGAATCAGTGCGACGCAGAACTCACCCATGTGGAGGATGCACCCTTCGCGCCCCTTGTCCCATACGTTCCGCGATGGAATCGCCACTTACCAGACACAGACCTCGACTCGAGTGAACACAACTCAGTCCTTGCTGCCTATTTTTCCCTATCCTGTAGCTGGAACATGATCGTGAACCCTACTTGTTTCGTTCGCGATTACGCCAAAGCTTTATCGCAGGAGATTGGTGAGGAAGTAGCTCATTACTCTCCAATGCTTCACAACGCTATGCTCGCCTTCGCCTTGGCGTTCTCATCAAATCAGGCGCACCAATCTGTCGAGTTCCGTCGGCGGTTTGTCACTCAGGCGAAAGTTTACGTTGATACTGAATGTCAAGCACCAACTCTGAGCACTGTCCAGGGGCTTGCCATTCTCTCTTGTTTCCATAGTGGAGCCGCCGAGTTAGGTACGCATCCTTCTTAACAAACTACCCGCGCGGCGCTTACGCTTTGTTTCAAAATAGTCCTTAGCTTTACGTACTTAGGTTCGCTTCCTGCAGGTACAATGTGATTCCAAAAAAAAAATTTAGCCCCTAACTTCTACAGGGATGGCAATGCGGGTTTCCCAAGCTCGTAAGTCATTTCAACATCCCGGTGTGTTGTGACTGAAATGTCACTTGCAGTCAATCTGGAGAATATGAAACTGGGAACTAGACTCAATGATATTGATTATCAGCGCGCTTGCGTTTTCTGGAGCCTATTCTCGATGGTATGTAACCTCTGTCACAGCTACTAACGTCACTTCAACGGTTCTGCTTTACAGGACAAATGCGGCAGCTTGTATGTTGGTCGACCTCAAACTCTCGCTCCTTCCTTCGAAGGCCCATATCAACCGCCGGGCACCCCGCCGATCGACTACGGTGTAGACGTTGGCATGGAGTGTTTGCAACCCCCACCATCTCATGTTTCAGGACCGCCAAATATTGCATTTATTTGGTACATTAAGGTGATGCGTATCATTCAGCTTGCCATGAAGATGCTATATGGTAAAAACGGTGTTTGCAATCCCATCGTTGATATTCGCCACATTGAGTACATAAGGTATCCTGAGATTCGAGTGTTTTGACATTACACTGATATTGGAGGAACAGCGGGCAGTTAGAACGATGGAAACGAGATCTTCCCGGCTCTCTTCGCATTGATGATAAAGACCCCGATCTTCACGTCACTCCCGAAGTGACAATGGTTAATCTCATGTGCGAATGGATGCACATCCTTCTGTATCAGCCCTTTTACCAAGATCGCTCCAGCATTCGTTACATCACCACTCCCGTGCACCAGATCGGTTTTTCTGATCAGGATTACACCCGTGTCTCACAACAGCGCGAGCGAGCATATCAGACTGCCACGCCCGCCGCCGAGCGGATCCTTTTCTTGTTGGAGAAATTTGACTCTGAACATGGTCTCGACAAGATGGACAATGCCTCCGTCCAAATAGCCTACGTTGCTGGGAAAATTCATTATCTGGGCATTATAGACAGTACCTCCGCTGTCCATAGATCCATGTCATCCAAGGATGGCATGGAGAAGGCTATTCAACTCCTGAGGAGGATGGGCAGCATCTGGGGATCTGCCGTGGCTTCGGCGAACAGACTCGAGGAATTGTTCACGACTGCTTCTGGGAATGCGTTGGGGGAAAACTCGGCATCGTAAGAGCATCTGGCATTCTTCGTGCTGCGACCTTCAGCTTATTCTTTATTGTTCCACAGATTACCGTCGGCGGGACTGGCTCCAACAAAGAGTGAATCCCCCACACTCAAGGCGGAGCCGCCCCATAAGCGGTTAGGTGCACGAGAATCCCAGTCTGCTGACGGATTCGAGTCTTCTCCCCCTCCCCCCTTCCAACGATCACCTCTGGAGTTCTGTCCACATTCACCGTTTCAACGTTTTCTTACTGAGTAGTGCTGACTGTTTGACGATTCTTCACGGTTTCACGACACTTCAAAATAATGATTATGACAACATCTCGTCTCGATGGTCTTTTGGCGTATTCGTCCTGCTCTCTGAGTCGATCGGGAATGGGCTTCTAACTTGTATGTACTGGCTCACCGACACTGAACCTTTGAGGCTTCAGAAATTGATACCGATCTTGACACCCATGAATACATACCATAAATTACTCTGCAGAAGTTCAAGCATCTGTGCGTTTGAACTCGGGTGGCATATTTAACCCAACCCTATTTGCAGTGGCTTTAACATGTTCCTCCGAGGTGACATCTTGAAGAGGATTGTATCTGGCCAGTAGTTCCTGAGAAACGAAGGTGTCGAGTGGTTATCAATGGGTTAATAAGGAAGAATCACAAACGTCGTATTCTCGCTGACTCTTTAGGAACAAGGCTGCGTTGTTGATAGTCCTTAAGAATTCTCCCAGTTCATTGGGGGTTGCGGACTTGTGCCGTTCAAACGTGGCGCGGAAACTCGCCAGCGATACTTTTTTGGTGTCACGGTGCCGAAGTGGTTCCTCGAACATCCCTCAGGACGAAGAATAAATTTAAATATGCCTGTGCGCTCACGTATTTCCTTAATTCCCGGAGAAGATGCCTGTACCCTTTTGCGAGGGTCATGTTCCTGAAGCCAGAGATAAGCAACTGAATTGCAAGAAGCGCCGAGGGGCTGTGTCTGCTTATCACGTGGCCATTTATCCAGACTCACTCGGTGGTCCGTTTAATTTTTTTGGTCTCTGAATAATTCTCTCGGTCGGCCCCTTGTGGACCTTATGGCTCGCTCTGCAGCTATCCGCTCTCGAATTGAAGCGTTTGAGAACGGAAAGCCAATTCCCATACTGTCAGAAAGCCCACCTAATAATTCATGGACGTTTGTGTCGAAGCCACGCCAAGTTTCGCCACTCGATGAACTGCTCTCTCCCTGGGCGAACACCGTTGCCCTCACGACGCCCAGCCCTACCATGACTCCAACGCCGCCTCGCTCGAGGTCGCCGTCCATTTTAGGTAGAAAGTCTTCACTAGTCGACGTCAGTGAAATTGCATCCCTCGTGTCCTCGGCGCCTTCATCTTTGAAGAGTACAAGCGAACATCTATTTGGCGTGAGGTCATCTCCTCCAGCAAAAGTCCCTCCCCCGGTCCCGCCAAGATACCCTGGGCTTATTGTTTCTTCTCTATATCCTAGTCCCACCTCATCTAAGTCGGCAGGATCTGAGTTCGCACTAAATAAGGACTCCCCTTCCTCGAATGACGAAAGCCGTAACCCCTCCCCCCCTTCGATCCCTTCTACAAGCAAGCCACCCCTACCACCTCGTAGACCAGATGCTGCCATTGCGGACGACATTCCCGGTGCCATACCGAATTTATACCCTCAGGACCGTAACATGTCGGATACTTCTGCCAGCCCAGCTTACACACCATCATTTTCACAGGTCGAACCCGAGCCTCAACCAATGTTCGGCCTGATACCGCCTCGGCCCGGTCACGCGCATGCCAACTCCACATCATCATTCCAATCAGTGTCACTTTCGGACAGTACTGGAGGTGACATGACAGATTCGAAGGACTCGCCCTCAGAAACTCCGTCACGTTCCGTTGCTGAAACGGTTGCTGCGCTCAATCGAATGGATAATACGAGAGATCGAAATTCGAATCCAGTCCCAGAAAATCCATCCATCGTTGTCCCTTACGCTCCTCGCTTACCTCCTCGAAGACGAGGGACGCAAGGGGTGGTAGCTAGTTCAGCTCCGCAACCAACCCCACCTGCGGCACCATCAATTGTGAAATCCAAACCGGCCCCTCCCCCACGCCCAGCGCCACTGAAGGGCCTCACACCCGGCTACAACTTCCCTTCCGTACAAATTCCTTCTCTCTCCATCCGTCGGGTCGCTCCGCCTCTTCCATCCGTCCCCTCCATCTCGCTCACGAACATGCGGACTTCTGGGTTCAATTCCTCTTCACCTTCTGGTTTTTCATATCCCCCTATCCTACCCTCGTCAAATACACCGATAACATCAGCATCTTCGGGGAAAAATGATGACAGCGCATTACTCAGTGAGGGTCCCGTACCTTCGGCCAATCGGATCCGTTACGAGGCCCTTTTCGAGAGGAATCTCTCCCCTCCGCGACAGACTGGGAGACATGTCGAGTCGCCTTCCTCGTCATCCTCGTCATCACGAGGTAGCGGGTGGAGAAATGTATCAGCTGCTGTAGGTGGGAGGTTACCTGGGTACGTTGTCAAGCGGATCTGGCTGTGTTCGAAGCTCGACCGTTCTTTCCTGCGGCGTCTTTGGTCAGTACGCGTTTGTATTTGCTGTCCTACTTTAGAGTTAATTCCGTATTTTCAGGGCCGAACTGGATAAGGAGGGCAATGGTGCCTTGGACAAGGAGTCATTCGTACGAGGCTTATGGAGAATAGATGCCGAACTCAGTAAAAGTCGGAGGTCGCGGAAATCCTTGCGCTAATTGCCTGACGCTTGGCGCTTTTCCGACTTACCTGGATTCTGATGCATTTCGGGTACTTCGAGCAATACCCGGGATGCGTAAACTGTTCGCTGCTTCTGATCTTTCTTTACCAACTTTAGACCCAAGTAATATGTTTGATTCGGCTCAGTGCGACGTCTATAGATGTATTTACTGTTGTATGTGAATGCGTGTTCTAGCTTAAAAATGACGCTAATTAGGAGTCAATCGATTAGAAAAATGCTGTGTGGAGTGCAGAATATTTTGGCTATAGTCCTCGTCCTCGCCGGTCGTATATCTGCGTCAACAATCCCATGACGCCCCCGTTTGCTAGCTCCTCAGCCTCGAGCTCATCAGCATTCGGTTCCTCATCCAAGCCAGAACGAGGCGCGCGAGCGGCTCTCCCATCAACATATGAATCGCCCAACTCACTCTGGACCTCATCTGCACCTTCACCTGAATCATGTGCACCCGAAGCCTCACCTACGTGTCCTTTACCTTTCATAGCCATGGATCTTTGCAGAGCAGCTTCGTACGTCCTGGCAAGCTCCGCATTTCTTTGTTCCTTAGCCAAGCCTACGGTGCTGTGCAGCAGTGGATTACCGCTTCGACCTGCCCCCACCGTCATAGATCCAAGAATTGGGTTTTGTCGATAGTCCGATGTCGTGCCGCTGAATCGGTTGCGGCGTCTATTGAACCCAGCAGGACCATGCCCATACATTGGATGGTACAAGGGATGCAACTGCGCGAGACGATCAAGATAAATAGAACCCGCTGGGTCCTTTGGATTCCAGTCCGGATGAGCAGCCTTCGAGCATAAGATTAAGCAAGGTACAATTGACAGAAAGTGGAAAGCGCAAATACCTTGAAATTAAGAAAGCTCTTCTCCATCTTTCCTTCTTTTGACAAATACCTCTCATCTTGAACTTCGCCCGGAGCACCAAACTGTTGTGTAAGCTTGTGTTAGCCTCGTTAGAGCATTTGCGGATGCGTCCCTCTCACATTAACGTTACCATGTCGTTTGAAGTCAAACACTGCAAAACTGCAAACATAACCCAATCCGTCCACATGCACGGAGAACTCGCGAAAGAAGTCGACAATTGCAGGTGCGCAGTCGGGAAGTGAAAACCAGAGGATGAATGGCGTCAAGATGACAGAAACAAGTTCTTGGATGAAGACCATAACCTTCATTTGGAACAGCTGACCAAACTCGTTGTGGACCTTAGATATATAGTTAGTCGTTTTGCCTCTTCAAAGTCCTTAGGCTTGCCTTTTTAGAGTGCAATTGACCCTTCCATTCATTCGGCATGTAGTGAGTGAATTGAATCACCTCACGAAGCAAGTACTCTGTATCAAAGACACGATGATCCTCAGGGATCATGCCGCGAGCCACTGCTAAAATGGACCCGAAGACTCCGATATAAAAGAGGACGGTTCGATGTGGGGTGATTTCAAAATGAAGGAAGAGTTCAGGGTCGATAACTGACGCCAACGCCAACACGGCCGCAAACGAGCCAGCAATGAAAGCCACGAATCTGCAAATGGTTAGTCTACGCATAGATCGATATGCAAAGCCGCTGTTCCTGACCTCATAAGCTGCGCCATCTTCTCATTCGGGAACTGGTCAATGTATTCGCTAGCAGCTGGATAGGACTCGTGCAATCTTCGTTTGAATAAATGAGAGAGCTCATTGAATTCTCTGAACTTCCATTGTGCGAAAGGCGTATACTGGCGGCTACTGATGAATGAAGGGTTCTTGTGGTACTCCTAGAACGCAGGAAGTTAACTCTGATCCTATACCACTTTAACGCAGCTGACTCACCTCAAAATAGCGAAAGAAGGAATACATGATCAGATACAAAACGATGAAAGGTGCAAAAATGGCGTTTATACACCCCATGAAGATAAATCGTCGACGTAGGCTGATCAAAGACGGGACTCAGTGTGATGCGTTGTGAGATGCAATGAATTTCCTACGCCTGAACAAGCATTAATCGGTTCTTCTGAGTCGTGAACGCATTCCGAACACGCCCATTATGATCGAACAAGAAGCCCAACAAACAGAACCTTAAATTCCACTCGAGAGCCTTCGTCAGTGTTCTTCCTTGGCCTTCATTCTCCAAAGGAAGAAGGCGCTGCAACAGTGGCGGGCGTGGTAGGCGTAAGTTGAGGAGACCCTTGTTGAAGAGAGCGATGAGGTAATTTTCTTGCCGCATAATGCGATTTGCAATATCATGGGCGTCAAGAGGAGCGGTGATTGAGTCGGATTGTAGTGCCGCAGCAGAGGAAAGAGCAGTGACAGGATTTTGTTCACGTATTTTGCCAATACGTCGCACGATCTCTTGCCATGAGATAGTTTGAATATCTGCCTGATGGAAGGCAAGTGAGCCGCAGTGGCCCTGAAATCAGCAATATGAAAGCTCACATCGGGAATGTCTAGTAGATAGGTGTAAAAGCGATACATATCTAGGAGTTGCATGATCCCCATGGCAAATGTGAATATATTCCATAACCAGAAAGCCCCGAAGGTTAGGAAAAATAGGAGGGTGAATCCAGAGAATCTGTGCAAATATGAGCAATGATCTCTTCCTACAATAAGCATATCCTGTACCCTGAGACACAATGAGGAACAATAACGTCAGAAAGCAGACCAGACGTTGAGACCAAAGGGTAGTCAACACAACCGAGAAGGAACGTCGAGAACCCAATAACGAAACCGACGGTTCTAAGAAAAACAATACTTTAACTCCACTACGATCGCAAACTGCTCGCAAAATAGAAAAGCCTTACAGTAGATTCAGCCCGCGATACAATGCTATGCAGTAGATCCCTTTTCCAACGTAATACGCATAGACCTACACCAATTCGCTTGATAAATAGTATGGGAGGGATGTTGAATCCCCACCTCTTGTAAGAATGCATCTAGATTATAAACGTTCACCCAGTTCCACAGGGCCCTTTCATGCTCATCCAAACCCGTTTTCCGTCCACCAGCAGAGGACGCAGACGTTGTATTGGGGACAGGTAGTGTGAAGTTTCCTGGGGACTGAAGCTCGGAGGGTCGAGGTGGCATGCTCATTCCTTTCACATCGCTGAACGTGGCTCTTGCGGCCCGCTTAAAAGGCGCTCGGGAAAGGAGCTTGGTAGGGGAAGTCGGAAGACCTGGCTTACTATCTCCCGCTGCTGTGCGGGACTGTGGGGATTTAGTACTGTTGGGCCCGCGACGAGCCTCAACCATGAACGAGTGGGGCACCTCGCCATCATCGTCATCGTATGAATCCGGATCTCTCACAACATTTTCAGGGGTTTGTGGGCGTAGATTCCCCATACGTATCCGGTCCATGTCGCCTGTAGCAGGAGCAGCATTAGCTTGAAGCCAGCCGCGTGCCCCGCGACTTGTTCCCTCGCCTCGGTCTTCGGGCTCTTCATTATCCGCCTCAGCCTCTTCTTCCTCCTCGACGACGTCATCACGAGCTCGTTCATATCCGCGATAGTTGCGACCAAGGGGATTGAGCATGTTGAGAAAGGGGTGACTGCTTGTCATCGAACTAGAGCCTGGAGGCAAGAATGACGATCTGTTCGTATTCCTTCTGGAGGAGTCCAATGCTCCAGAGGAAAGGAAAGAGTCCGACATTGCTGAGTTCGTAAGCTGGCTGTCCTCAAGGTTGGATACCAAGATCTGTCATTCAATTACGGTCAGATTACACGTGACCATCCAACGCGCCAGTCATGGAGGATGGACGTGTCGTTCCCAATGGATCAAGGGGGAAAGCGAGGGCAGAGGTGGGGATGGCTACCCCCCTAGCTTATACTTTCGGTGCCACTGCGAATCTAGTGTCCGCAGAGCTGGACGCGCTCTTTGCCAACCTCTCCGATGACAATCGAGCACCAACTCCTTCATCTTCGGGAGCTGGGGGCTTGTCTTCGAAGAAGAGAAGGGGACGCACCACGAATGTACTCCTAAGCGACGATGAAGAGGGCGGCAAAACGCAACAGCCACAAACGCGTCCTGACGATGATGAGGCGCCGAAAGCAAAGAAGACGCGAAAAATCGCCAAATTAGACGAAGATCGGTGAGTTTATAATATTCAAGGTCGTTTTACGCGCGTTTCACCAGAATACGACGTGGAATTGGTCGCTAGCTTATGTGGTCCCAACGGATTTCCAGCACTCATAGAACATCATAGGAAGTTTAAGCCGTCAGGAAAAGGGAATGAAGTAAAGTCTCCGTGGATTGACCGTTGCACATAGAACCTGATGTCTTGCGAGGCGAAAGATCTCCAACGGCTGCTTCAAATATATCAACTTTGGTCACACAAGATGTACCCTAGAACTCAGTTTCGTGATTCCATAGAACGGATCGAAAAGTTGTGTCGGTCACGGTCTATGCATGTGAGTACTTTGACATTGCCCATCTCAAGACTCAGCACGCAATCAAGCTCATCCTGATTCATTTTTTGTGAACGCACGTTAGAGCGCCCTGAGCAAATGGAAGGATGATTTAGCTCCCAAGCCCGTTATCCCTTCCCGCGACTCCTCGCCCGTCAACGAAGAGAATATTGATGACGATGACGAGGATGTTTCCAATAGCCAACATATCCCCAATGGCACATCCCTCAACACCAACGTTGACTCCCGAGATCCATCCCAGCCTTCCACCATTTCCGGCGGACGGGCAATAAACCCCAGCAACGACGATGACTGGGACCTCGATGCACTCATTTCCGAGGACATCGCTTTCCGGCGGCAGCAAGGATTATCCTCTGACCTGCAGCCTCAACCACAGAGGGCACCTGTCGGTGCCGAGGGGAAGAGGCTCTTCCTCGACGACCCTGGCCCTGATGATTGGGACGTGGACGCAATGATCGAAGAACAAGAACGATTCGAGATGGAGGAGCGAACACATCCCTCTGCGACCAACGGGATTGGGAATGTGCCCGTGGATGACAATGAAATGTGGAACATGGTGGGGGAGATTGGAATGGGCCGATAACTATATTTTGGAACTAGCACTATGGAGTCCAACTTCTGATAATCATTTCATGTTAGCGCACTCTAGTAGGAAACGTACTGGGAAGTCCAACACGCGATGCGGCGACATGCCGTTCTTGCTTCCAGACCATGTGAGTATGTCAAATGTTACTGAGAATGAGTATATCGGCTATGAACAATATTACAGGAGTTACATAGTGGTTAGAATCATTGGCGCGCTCCAATCAGAGATATACATAAAGGTTCCAATTCCCCCTCTCCGTATTTCCATGTTCCCTCAACTCATGGGTGCGCAAAGCTCCCCCGATGTTGTGAGCACATTGGTTAGATAGTATGCTTTGCAGAGCTTAATCAACTGATTTTCCACGTGGGCTTGATCTGGTCATTAGCCGAACAACGCATAGAGGTTCATGACTCATCCAGGCCGTTCTTGAAACATACTCGCCCCTCGCTAATTGACCAATGCCTATCATTATAAACTGCATTGAGAGCTGCGTTTGCGATGTGTAGAAAACAGAGTCCCCTCTTAATGTGCCCTTCCTGGACCCTCAACGAATAAACTCTTCACTTGCTACACCCGTAAGGGCAACATATGCGTCTTTCTCACTTATAGTAGCTTAGAGCAACACAATGCGAAATGGCGACCTCTCTTGACCCCGATACACATCGTGACTAAGAGCCCCCCATTTCCCTTGCGCTGCGTAGACATGAGCTCCTCGAATCGAGAATGTTGGTGCACAATTGCACGGACTCTAGACAAGAGGTAAAAGGGGGTCACGAGCCCAAGATGGGAGTTCCATCCCTCCCCTAGATGCTACCAGAATGTTGTTCTCCAATTGAAGCGAAAGCCAACGAGGAACAAGTCAGAGTGAGATAGATACCGGAGAAATGAGAGAGAATAGATACAAAAAAGCAAGAGGCGGTGCACATTAGCAGTTACATGTAGAAGCGTCTGGGACCTGAGTGTTGTTCTGTGAAGTGACTTCAATCTCTGAATGAGGGAGTCTGCGTCAAACACCTGCTCAGAACCTTACCAAGGTGCTAACTTACTTTGGTTCCCATCTGCCGGTGTCTGGTTTGCATTCTCATTTCCACCTGGTAATGCCATTGCGATTTTCTTGAACAAACTCTTCACGTTGTGCCCAGCTTTCGCGCTTGTCTCCATGAACATTGTAAGGCTGAGTTCCGTCGACCTCGCCTGAGCCTCTTCAAGAGTGACTTGGCGCTTGTCCGAAAGGTCGGCCTTATTGCCTACTAGGACGATGAGTACATCTGATCCACGTTCTGAACGAACATCTTCGATCCATTTTGTCGTTGAAAGGAAAGAAGCTCGATCTAGGGGAACACACCCTTATTGAATCCATAGAAACTATTTAATTGCATGGACTCACTCGTTATGTCGAACACGACAATGGCGACTGATGAGTCACGAATGTATGAAGGGATCAGGGAACGGAATCGTTCTTGACCCGCCGTATCCCATAGCTGCAGTCTGACGGTGCGATCTTCAAGGTACATCGTTTTACTTAAGAAATCTATCCCAATCGTAGCTTGGTAGGTGTTGTCAAATGTATCGTACATGAAACTATGGTGAAAATAAGAAACAGTTGTGAGCTTTGGAGGAATGTCTCCTAGAAACTATACTTACCGTGTTATTAGGGATGTCTTTCCAACGGACTGGTCACCTAACAAAACGATCTTCGTCCGTTTCAACGGCGCAGTGGAAGAGAAGTCCGAAGTCACTGGAGTGCTTGCAGGAGCCGTAGCCATAACGTAAAATTCAAAATAGAAGAAAGTGAACCAATAGTCTATATAGAGAGAGCCCAGTGTACAGAGCGGAAAGGTCAACTGAACAAAGTGAGCGATGCGGAGTTGCCCGTTCAATTGACCGATATCCACGTTACAGTAAGTCGGCTGTTTCACAAATAACAAGAGCCCAACGCGCTTGGCTCGGTGCTGGCTGGTCACCCTCTTTTGAGCCAATGTTGCCAAAGGCTCACTTAGAGAGGCTGGTCACCTGCCCCACCTGAAATCTTGCTAGCCATTTTACTTTTCGAAACCCCGCCGGAGAAAGGGCTTTTTCGGTTAGACTTACGCGGGCCCTTGCAAACCATGGGGTTTTCCTCACAGATGCGTCGCTGGCTTTCCGCTATCTCATCGGCAATTCCGTGCCACTTTGGAATGTGTCCTCCGCAATGCCCAGAGGCACATAATAAGGAATGGCCAAAAGACAAAGATCTCAGGCGCGACGCTCGCTGGTATGGTGCTCGGGATCCTAGGGGTACTTTTGCACACCCAGGATTGAATGTTAGAGATGTTCCATTCTGTGCGTTGCTTTCCGGGACATCTAGCTCTAGACCTCGGCCTACTCCCTTTGTGAGCCTTCCACTACGCTGACGACTTTCGACTATCCTAAATACATGGGGAGCCTCTTTCTTCCGGCAAAGGAACCCAACCCTGCAGGCTACATCTTCCCCTCCGCCGTAATGATGTCATCACGGAGTATCTCGCTTGTCACGTCCAGTCCTCTCGTCATACAGACATAGAGCTTTCTCCGAGGGAAAAAAACGACACCCCTCAAACGTAGTAGTGCTGCGAATACCAATATTCTTTGGCACGTCGAAGTCCCAAGTGAAGCTTGAGGTGTTGAGCCTCGGTACTGCATGTTGCGGAACTATGTAGGCTTTATTCTGAGACAGAGTGTAGTGGGCAATCCGCAAGAGGTGTACCATGATGACTTGTGCTTGTGCGCTTGAAAGCGGGATTTATCCAGACGTGTCAGCACCTTTTGGTCTGTGCTTGATAATCTATCCACTGAACCGAATGCAAGACAAACTCTCGATTGAAACATTTTCCCTCGGTCTTCGAACGTAACAGGAGCTTCCGTCTTTTTTTAGTCCTTAGATGGCGTATGCGAACACAGATAGCTCCGTTCTACTTTTCCTGCTGCCTGGGGTCGGCTTTGACGGCCATCCTATTCTATTCTTTGCACTTTTGTCACAGATAACTCAACACCCGATCGTGTATAAGCTCGTATAAAAAAATGAAAGCACGCAAAGGCCGCCCACCACCAGACCGAGTTACAGCAGGTGCAGATGAATAGAATAGGTGGGTGCGCAATTGATGAGATGGCTGGTCTAGTTGCGTACATGACTACATTCGCGCTTCCACGGATTTTTTACGGAGTTTGCCAGGGATTACTCTGCACATCACCAACCACTCCCGATATTACGCAATTGGCGACGCTGAAAATTTGTCATCGTCTTCCCTTTTGGGTTGTTTCTTTTTCTTTACATGCTTTCTTTTACGTCATCCTGTCCCTTCTCTTCTTTTACTTTCCTTCCACCATTTCCGCTCCCACTCGGCTCTTGTCCTTAAAATCTCGGTTTAACCATATGTGTTTTCTTCCTCTTGCACGCGACAATGTCATGCATGCATTAAATGGTGTCAACGTGCCCCTTGGTGATGTTCCTATGTCTGACCACAGGTATTCCATCGTCTGTCCTTGCGCACGGTAGTCCGTGAAGGCGTATGCTGGTTCCACTGTGATTTGTCGCCATACCACCTTCTTTTTCACTTTGCCTTTAAATGATTCCAGACTCCGAATGACTGGAAAAATTGGATTGTGTTTGTCAGATGTCTGCATTCCAATTAAACACACGCCTTTATAGCCTACTTGTACTTATATTCGCGAAACGAACTGAAAAAAAAATAATAGAAATAGATTTATGCTGGGACAGGCGAAAGGAAACAAGGGCTGTGCAGAGTCAAGCGAAGCGCAAGCACTCTAGTTTTGGAAACGGCAATATTGATTAGCCGAGCTTGCAGGGCCATACGCAGGTTGGCCGCCGCAGGATAACTCTCTTTATATTCGTTTTGGATATGCGCAACCGCTGTGCAACATCCCCCAAGCCCACGGCCAGTGCCTACAAGGGCATAAGGGGGGTGGAACAGCATTATAAAAACTGATCACCTGGCTAGAGGCATCCCCTTGCGCCTGCCGGCATTATGGGCCGATCAGCACGTGCAACTGTCATCATGAATCAATTGATTGATGACCAGACCTGGTCATGAACTCCTTGAGCGGTGAACCACGATGCCAGCATATATAAGAAGCAAGGATGGATTACACCACATCCCGTACGAGCTTGTGTCTGGTCTGAGCTATTCTAGTAATGCTGGGTACTCCGGTGGGCTCGTTCAGCTGCATTTCGCAATCGTCCCGCCCCCTAGAAATGGACAGAGGTCAGGGACCCCTTAATGGAACTGATCCGGGGCCTGGGGGGCATCCGTACGCCCTACTTGTCCTCTCTTCGTTAGGAAGCTGATATGAGATATGTCTTCAGATATTTAATTGGTGGTTTCGCGCCCATCCACAAAGAGCACCCTTGCACACCGTGTGAAGTAGTTGGAGAGATACCCATTGAACTATGTGGTGGCCAATATATCAGAAACGGCCCGAACCCTTTGCTGAATGACGACCTGGGACGGGACGCTCATTGGTTTGATGTCAGTACTAGCCCTCGTGTGGTAGACATGCCACATGCCAATGGTGATGATTCCCTCCTTAGGGCGATGGGATGCTCTGCGCAGTATATTTCTCACCCAGCCAAGGTAACATCACAACACAACGATCTACCCCCTACTTCACGAATCGTTTCATCTACACTGATGTTCTCTCTGTTACCCTGGATTATGCGAGTCTTCCACGTCTCTTCTCGACAATGAGACATCCTCTAGAATTAGTTCGCCCCCTTGTCATTTCCGTCGCGACGTTCTCAGATCCAAAGCTCTCGCTGTGGAACATCTTGAAAATCCTTCTCGGTATGGTGCGCATCATCTTTTACGTCCTCCTAAGCTGGTGCTCCCCATCACGTCAACGTCGGCATGACAATGATGTTCATCCTGGTAGAAAGAGGATTGGACTAAAGCAGATTAGCACTGCGAATACTAATATCGTTTGGCATGATGGCTATGCTCTTGCCTTGTCGGAGACTGGCCCACCAATGTGGGTTTCTCTTCCGGGTCTTGAGACAATAGATTGGATCGATTTCGCGTTGCCTCCCAGCCAATCTCGCAACGTTCAATCACCATCCCGGAAGGAAGTCCAACATCGGGCATGGAGTTTCCTCCAACCTTTACGCACGTATTTCCGCGAATGGTTAGCAGCCCATCCAAAATTTGATCCACTTACAGGGGAGGCCATGGCAATTCACAACTCGTTCGGAAATGGTCAACCCTACATCAAATACACCGTCCTTCCACCCAGTAACTCCCGGGAGATTCCTCTCAAAGCCCTGGAGCGAGAACAACTCCAGAAGTGCGAAGCTGTCATCAGAGATCCTGTGTGCCCGCCCTGGGGTAATTCCTCATCTCAGCCAAAATTCGCGCACGACATTGCATGCTCGCAAACGCACACTGTCGTCATTGATCTGCCCTTGACGCTTAATCCATTTGCGATGTTCCGCGGTCGGCCCATGATGGAGTACCTAGCCCACGAGAACATGAGGTTCACTATTTTCAAGCGTCATCCTTCCGCCAGTGATATTAAGCCGGGCCACGCAAACGGGCACCCGTATCACGGTGGTGATGGGCTTGCACACGCTCACACCCGTGAGGCGAAGTCCGAGAGGCCGGAATGCGGTCCATATTGGTTTGAGGAAAGCGAAAAAGGGCGCCTGATGCTCCATACAGCTAGCTGTTGGGATGAGTATGACAATGGCCATGATGGAAGCCCCAACGAAGGGGAGAGAAGAGTTCAAGCGGTTCATCTCATTGGACTTCGCATGCCAGATGCTTACTTCATCTATGAAGCTGGAACTGTGCTTGACCGAGTTTCGGACTCCAAGGTGATCTCAGGGGGCGAATTATGTTACTATCGATTTGAACTCCCTCTTACCAATACTACGTTTGGCCCATATCACTGGCAGGGCACGACCGGGCATATCTCACATTCGTTTGCACTGTCGAATGTACAATTTGACTTCCCGCGGATCAATCCATTATACGACTGCGGAAGGCGCCCCTCGTCATCAAATATTGACCCCTCGAAGCCATGGATGGGAGGCGCTCGATATGTTTATGGGTGTGGCTTCCTTCCCGATGCGGCACAGGGTAGCGATGGTTATGAAAGGAAAAGCAACGCGAACTATATAGTGAAGATGGACCTGCATCGGCTTGTGGAGGATGGTTTAAAGAGGGAACTCAAGGATGGGGATCTAGTGGACCAGAGGGGTCTGGAAGAAGTCATAGCTGATGGGTCTTTGGAGGAGGATGGGGTGACACCAGGGGCGGGAGGTGTGAAGGATGCAGTAAAAGTGTTCCGCATGCCGAAAGGCTGGCGCTGCGGGGAGCCAACCTTCGTGCCTCGTACAAAATCATCCGGGGACGAAGTGGAGGAAGATGAAGGATGGCTCCTCACCTTCGTCTTTGATGAAGGAAAGTATTGGGAAAAAGGAAGCGTGATGCCGTGTGCAGATGCGAGGTCCGAACTTTGGATAATTGACGCTGAAGGAATGAAGGATATTGTTGCGAGGATTATCCTGCCTACTAGAGGTACGAATTGTTCTGGGAGTGTGCCAGAAGTTCTACGATCCCTTTTATTGCCTGGCTCCAAGTACCTAAACGCTAATTACCTCCTTTCAGTGCCATACGGATTTCATGGAGATTTCTTCACTGCAGAGCAGATTGCGACACAACGCGAAATCCCAGAAGGAATGAAGCCTCGAGGATGGGTGAATCTCCTTTGAAGGATATTTCAGTCGATGCGCCAGAATGTTTCTTTGACACAGCAAGCTCATTCTTTAGGAGCTGGCTGCTAATACTTAATGTTGGACGCTCCGCAATCAACATCTGGCCAGTCCCAGATCCTTTTGATGGTCTGCCCCTGAATAGAGTTGCTGCTAGAATACGATTCATAAGAGGAGTCGGGTCACACTAGCTGCCGTGTTGTTAGAGTTAACAAGACCAGCCGGCAAGGTTGGGTGTCATAAACGATTTCGTTAGCGCCACTGAGAGTTCTAACCAATCGCAAGTCTGGCTTGAATTATTCATTTCCCCAGGAGATACGGGCGGCTGCATGGGTCAAGGTAAAGACAGCTCCGCACTGGACTGAGAGTACCGTGCATGTAGAGTATAAAAGTGTGATGAATGCTACAGATGAACCGAGGGTGCTGATATAACCCATGGCCTTTGGTGGGCGAGAGGGAACTCTAGCCGCTAGCCGCCACGATCAAGGGGGATGTAACTTGATCAACCAGAAGCATTTAGTGATGGCCTGAATCCAGAAACCTAGGATGTCCACGGTACTGGGTAAACAGATCAGATGACCTGCCTTCGGGAGGTCAGGAAAGGAATCATTCGGGTGCCCCTCCCCCTTGGGATACGCCCCAAAAAGGATGCACAGCAGATAGTACGAAAGCCAAGATTTGCACAGTTCCCAGTCAAACGTCGCACATTCTTAGCAAATAAAGTCAAGGTCAACTTAAATTCGGCCAGTTCGCATCAAAGAGATAGGTAGCGTGGAGAGCGAGAATCCCGGATGCGCTGGATTGAGAGTGGGATTGGCGGCGCAGCGCCCTTCCCGGGCGGGGGATGAAGAAGGGTTCGGAACACAAGGTTAAGGGGGTGCTTGAGGAGAATTTAATACCTCAAACTCTCTTGGAATCCGTTCGGATTCTGTGATTTTCAGTTGAAGTTTCTATATGCGATTTCGAGGCGGATTGTACATGCTCAAAACGTCATAACATTCGTTCGGCTTCGGCGAAGGGTAAAGGCGGAAAGAATAATAAATCTAATCACATCGAGACAATTGGTCAGCGTCGGATGCTCATCGTGTGTATGGTCGGGACTGCAATGCAGGGTGAGTGAAGACGTGGAAGGCAAAATTGACGGCGTACACATTTGAAGTCCTTGAATGTCCTTGACGAGCGAGTTTGCAAGAGCACGTTTAGAGAGAACGATTCGTAATGACGCCCACACGAGAAGCAGACATCCGAAACCCGTGGGTATCAGCCAATACAAAGGGCTCGTGTGATGGCTTCCATCTGTGCGGTAGTAATTAGCCATGTTTGCGAGCAAATGTACTCAAGAAGCTCACTGAAGGCAGAATGTAGGGGGGGAGTATAAATGATGAACACTGCTAAGCACGCGCCGGCAAATATTCCAGCGAAATTGTACGGGTTAGACACAACATGCTTCCCGAACGGCGGCTAAAATGAAGCACCAGTTAGAGGAGTGATTCGAAATAAGGCTGGAAAGAAACCCTCACTCTAAACTTCGCCTTCACTGCGAACATCTATGGGACGAAAGGAGTTTAGAGGGAGGCGATACTGATTTAGAAAAGTGCCCACGTACGTTGAAGCACTGACAGATGAAAATAGCCAAGTATACTACAGGTTGTTATCATCAACATAGTATACACACTGTGTAACCTGAATATTCTTACCTATCGACTTGCTCTGCGACGCCGCGTCTTCCTGCTGGGGGCCGGTGATAGTCCATCCGCGCGAGTTATGGAAGTCGGGACTGGACTTTGTGAAGTAGACTAAGAAGGACCAGTATGTGTGCCCGAACTTCTCCAGTTATGGCTTGAAACCCACCTCCGGCTTGTTGAGCCATGCGAACCTCATTCGGAGAAAAGCCGCGTTTCCAGAAGACGACGAAATAGCTCACAAGACTAGAATATCGCGAAAGAAGTGAGCGTTATTGCGGGCTGGACTTGACAAAGAGACTAGATCATACACGGCGATCGTTTCAATAATACCAGCTTCCATGTACGCATAACTAAGGAGATTTCTGGAAAGCTAAGATGTTAGCTAAGTTACGTGTAAGCAAGCACTCGGCTCACGTGTCAACAAGGGTCTCATCTTCTGTCTGTTCCCACACATCCTCCCAAAAATAGCGGGTGAAAGGCTTCTTGACCTTGCTCTTGAGGATCTGCCACTTGGTCGGTGGAATGACCTCCAAAGTCTCCGGGTCCCGGAGAATAGTCTTTGTGCGCTTGAGCGCCTTCTGCTTCCTCGCAAGGATAGAACGATTTGTAACCGGCTTTCGGGGCTGGAGTTTCATCAGGCTCTCAGAAGATTCCGGAGCATCCCAAGCAAATGACAGCTGTAAGCAATGAATTTCATCAACAATGCATTGGAAGTTATCATGCGACTTACTGCGGCAAAGATTTCGAACCCAAGATCTTGCGTGAACACATCAGCAAAAGTTCGGCGTTCAACTCGGGTCCCTTACCAATTGCAAGGATCCTAGATGATATTCCCGGTCAGCCAACTTTCGGAACTTATGGAAAATATTACCCACATGATAGCAGGAAGTGGTAAGGGCAACGGGACTAGGAGCCTGGTTGAATACCAATTTCTTTCATATTCCATCCCGTACTCACCACAAACATAGAGTAACTGAGGGATAACTGTAGAAGTCGGGTCACAAAACCAGCCGGGATCGGAACCCTGCTCACATACCTTCGGGCATGATGTGGGTGACAGTATATCTGAAGGACGAGCAAATGAGGAAATATTCTCAGAAAAACCAAACCGAGGGCACACGTACTTGATGCTCCGCTTGAGATTAGCGAAAATCAATCGTCCTTCTTTGACACCTTTGACGATACTTGCAAAATTGTCGTCGAGCAGGATCATGTTCGCAGACTCCTTGGACACGTCGCTGCCAGATATATTCATGGCGATCCCGAGATCGGCCTTCTTCAGAGCTACAGGCCATATAAGCCATAATTGTAGAGATATTATCGTGCTAACTCACCAGGAGAATCATTCACGCCATCTCCAGTTCTGCAGCCGATAATCGGATAAGTAATTCGTCTTCGAAAATGAGACCGTCACCTACACCCCGACAATGTGGCCAAGCGCTTGGGCACGGCGAACTGTAGGCAAGGGATAACAATTGAGTTAACAGGCGAAATTGGCAATGCAGGAGGTAGACGATACCAATTTCAAGCTTGTGCTTCGGAGAGGTACGAGCAAAGACGATCTCATTCTTGTTGAGTACTATCACACGGGAAGATCAGAAACGCCCCAATGACGCTTGACAGAGATACTGACTCATGTCCCATTCATAGGGCTGTTGATATTTTCATGTGATGAGCCAAGTGCAGTTGAATGGTGCGAAAGATCTAACCTGAAGCGAATCAATTCTATCCCCGTGAATGACGATAGCTGGCACTTCATCCTCGTAAATTTCCTCGAGGCGTCTGGTGGTTACCAGTTACCGGTTAGATGGAAAAAATGATTAAATATGCGTAAGTCGCATACCTGCCGGTTCTCTCACTAAGTCTCTCCCGAGTATCCCCTGTGATAAGGTTGATCTTGCGAGCAATGGCCTCTGCCTGCAAGTGGGAGTGGGTGAAAACTCCACACACGGATCTATATGTGGGCTTACAGTCTTAGGATGCTATATGGACATGACACGAAGTCTGGTTAGAGATTTATCTCGAAATGATACTAAGTTGGCATACATCGCCAGTTATCATCCTAGAATAAGGGATATCGGGTTGAACTTTTGGGTAGACGAATTGGCATCCTACACTTACATCACCTTGATACCCGCTTGACGAAGAGTTCCAATGGCTTGGCGAACCTGTCAGGAGATGTATAACCTCCCACGTCATTCTCAGGGGTGGGAGAACGTACACCATGCTTTGGAGGATCTTCCAATGAAACCAAGCCAACAAAACAATAGCCTTCGGTAGGGCAGTTCTCGGCCGTTTTCGAGAACGTATAGTCTTCAGGGAACTCCTTGCCTTCTAAAAGGATTTGAGCGCAACCGATGACACGGTGTCCTCGAGAAGCCATATACTGCAATTACCGTCAATTGGCGATATGTGGCTCTGCGCCTGGAGAAATACCTACCGTGTAAGCCTCATCATACTTTTGCTTAAACTCGTCCGTGATGGGGTGCTGAACACCGTCTTGTAAAAATGTCGAACACTTTTCGAGGACTCGTTCGGGGGCACCCTTGATGTAGGAGCGAAGAACTCCATTCTCGTGGGGTTTCTTGACCTTTTTTTTTTTTAAAAAAAAAGCAGCCAATCAATTCAACCGACCTGGAACCATGTTGAAGACGGAAATAAGTGCCCACCACGACCAAGGCCCACTTGTTCACCGAATTGAATGGTATTTCAAAGACCTTAGGATGCGCCTTCACAAAGACGTCATATCCTTGTTCCACGGACGAACCAATATCAGGCTGTTCGACCTTCTCACTCTCCCCATCTTCACGCATTGACAATGTCGCAAGCCACCTTGCAGCGAACTTGGCTAAGCCAGTCTCCGTAGCATCGCCGAGGATGTCACGCTGCTCGAAGGGCACGTCGGTGCGATTGAACTTGACGCGTGAGTTCAAAGCTGCAATATCAATCATTTCGCCCATGCTGCCTTGCGAAGGGTGGAAAGTTTCCATTTCGAGGGTGTCATTGTTGGACTGGTGGGAAAACGTTTAGAAAAGAAGCGCTGAGGCGAGATGTGATATGGCGAATTACCTGGAAAGCTGAGACCATCCGATTGCCGCTCCAAAGATTCGTAACCTGACACATTTCGCTCAGCGAACGACGAGAAGATTAAATTGTGATAGCGGTACCGTCATCTCATTCCTGGTCAAAGTCCCAGTCTTGTCCGTAGCCAAACATGTGAGTGCACCCAATGTCTCAACTCCCTGTAAGTTTTTAACGAGAACCTGATGAATGAACAATGTCAGCGTCGGTCAGAGTCGAAAACCATTGAACAGAAATCACCTTCTCCTTCGCCATGCGTTGCGCCGCAATCGAGAGAAGCAACGTGACAGTCGCCGGAAGACCCTCAGGGATCTTCATTGCATGCATTTACCTCAAGATTTAGAAGCTGGGAATATGAACATGATCCACCTACCCATGCAACAAGGACCGAAATGGCAAATGTCACTGTCTGAACAGCCTTTCCCTTATACGCTGTCGTAATCCCAACCACGAAGAACACAACTAAAATCAGGTTGTAGTGAGAAAAACGCAAACACAGTGAGAAGTATGATGCTTGCTTGCTGTGGTGATTGCGACAGCCGATATAATATGGACGAAGTGATCACTGGTGGTCCCGAGGGTCAGATACGAGGTTCCCACAGATCGAAGAAGAACAGCAAAACACACATCTCAACAGCAAGAGGGCTACGGTTTCCGCTTTCGCTTCCCGCAAGTCGTGCAATTTGGCCTGGATGTATTTCATGCAATGAGCAGCACGTACTTAACACAACTCCACTGCAACTCACCAATAAATGTATTGTCGCCCGTTCGAACGACAACTTCAGGAGATTAGGATTGTCTGAAAATGAACTCGGGCAAACACAACTTACCACCCCATCCGTCACCACTGACAACGTTCGTCGAATTGAATACCAAATTCGACGCTTCAACAGGTCTGACGCCCTTGTCGCCCTCCTTTTTGGGCGCTCTCTCCTGAGGTTCCGATTCACCAGTCAACGAACTATTGTCGACCTTCAAGTCCGTCGCTCCAATCAGCACACAATCAGCGGGCGTCTTATCTCCATTCCTCAAAAGAACAACATCTCCGATTACAAGAGACGCAGCGGGAACGGTGGCGAGCGCTCCGGAACGGAGGACAGTGCAATTTGGTGGGATCATGGCGAGGAAGCCAGCAAGAATGGCTTCGGATTTCTGAAGTTGATACCACTCAATAAACGCATTCAAAAATGCCACGACTATGAGAACTCCGCCGAGATATTCGTTCGGTTTGTTATTCTGTATTTTGCAAAAGGTACGCGCATTCAGGGAACATGATTCTGATAAATCGTCAAGCAAGGGCTATAAACGGACCTTGTAGTCAACACCAAGCAGAATATATTCGAGAATACCAGCGAAGATCAGGAGGACATTGAAAAGAGATTTCAGGCAGTCAAGATACTGGCGGTTTAGCAAGGGTTTTCAGCGGACGACGCCAAGCGCAACAATTCAAATCACCTTTTGAAAGGCACTTCTTTTCTTCGGGGGTGTCAAGATGTTGGGTCCATTCTGAGCCAAACGAGCCTCCGCGGTTTCAGTAGTAAGACCGAGAGACTTGGAAGGATCTTTCCGGTCGAAGTTCGCCTCAAGGGTAGCAGCGAGCTCTTCAATGCTGAGAGTATGTTCAGTGATTTCGCTGCTACCAGAAAACTTGCCATCTCCCCGAGCATTAGCCCCCGCTTCAGAGTTGACCTGTTCAAGATGTTCGTAATTAGCTCTGAAATGCCAGGCATAGCAAAGTCCACGTTTGCAAAATTCAAGTTAATGTCAGCAATGGGGAACGAGGGTCTGGGGTTCGTACCGTGAAAGTTCCTTGTCCTCCTGAGTGAGTTCGCGTTTGATCTCTAGAGCTTTAGACCCGGAACGAGCAGTCAAAACACCAGTGGGTCGTTCCTCGATTTCGTGGAGGTTTTGCCCAAACTCGACACGCAGCCGTGTAGGATCGGAAGCATCTGGCTCAGGACCAACGTTGCTGATATTTTTCTCTGGGTCGCTGAGGTCCATGTCGATCTCGTCTTAGTCGTCCTAGCAAGATGAAAGGCGGGGGAGGAGTAGGGACAAGTGAAAGGACGGAAGTCCCACTTAAAAGGCACAGATGAATGCTCCAAACAACCGAAGGAGTTGATATGGCCCCCTTGATTATTTTGAACGGCGAAAAGCACGCACAATATCAACCTCAAAGGTATAGGTTCTTCATTCCACGCGCTGGGTTATTTCCCCAGTGCGACTCTAACTTCCGGATGTGTCGGGTCCCGATTGCTCACTGAACGTCGGGATAGCTGTAGCTGTGTTCAGATAACTTTGGAAAACTTAAATTTTTCAGGACGTGCCGTGATCAGTGCCTTAATGCCAATTACATGTACAACTGCCATCACTCCTCACAGACTCCAACTTGGACCCACTATGACACGCCTGGCGTGCGCCCTACAGTCCTTTGCTGACCAAAAACTCATCTCCATAACTCCACAGCCGCATAAAATGGATGAATATCGACCTTTCCCCTTTCTACGTGTGTGTCGTAACGGCAGGTATTATGAAGCCCTGATCGCCTGTACATTCTTTTCCCTTTGGCCATGGCAAGTGACTTACGAGGCCTCAAGTGCAGGGCTCGACAGATCAGTACTTGCGGCTGAGGGATTAACGCTATCGATTTGCCGTCACCGAGCACTCATACCCGCGAGACCATAAAAAGTCCCCCAGCGTGCCGAGTCCGGTGTCGGGCCGCTACCTAGCCGCAGCGATCACGCTCCTGCCTCTACTGAGCTGTTACTGAGCTGTTCGATCTATGTATATCACTGACTGCATACATTGGGGTTCGACCAGGGCCTAAACACCGAGTGCGGCTTGTTGCTCACAGGTACGTTGCAAAGCAGGCGACAGATGATCTTATCAAGCGATATCACGAACTCGTGTACATCTTCCGGTTTGAGGCGCATGCCCTGGTGCGAATCAGTCAGCTGGTTTGTTGCATCGATCTAAATGCTATATTGTTATAATGAGGCACTCTGTGAACATCGAAGGTTCACTTGGTTTCGTCTTCATGTCGGCTCATTTATGATCCCCGTCCGGTTGGCTTTCATCCCATCATTGTCCAGCTGTGCAGCATAGATGTGCACGAAACCGAGTGAAGAAATATTAGCTCATAGTATGGAGGCAAGTAAATCCTTCGGAGATTAGTACAATCGTACCCGGATAAGATACAGATAACAAAGGAGAGAAGAGAGGCCGAATAAACCAGTAACTCTACAAAGCAGTCCCTCGCTCAAAGCTGTCTCTAATTTCTTTCGTATATTTGTCGTAATAACGAGCGATCTGCGTGAACGGTGAAAATGTCGGTTTGACATGATGGAGTTAGTGACCAATGGGCGTACCTTCTTGTTGAAGACCTTATTATGTTCATTAATATAGGTGATATCACCCTCATCGTCATTGAGCCGCTTCCTCGAGAACTTGCCACGTTTGTCAAGGCTGACGTGATTTGCGACGGACGCAAAGGGAGACAGGAGACAAGCGTTAGTGTAATCAGGGGAGGGCCGAAGGTGGAACAGAACTTACTCAAGGTTCAGTTTAGCCACAACCCTGTCTATAGCTTCTTCGCTTGGCTTGTTATCACCGTATTGCAGTGTATTTGCGTCACGGTACAAATCCTCGGCGGCGAGAGTAGCAGAAATGGGTGTTATGGACGTCGATGAGGTCGAAGAAGCAGCCTTTATCAGAGTTTTGGTTTGTTCTTCTTTTGAGAGTTTGGAGAGTGCACCAGGGACAAGGCCGAGTGCCGCTTCCTTTTGACGATTATAGGCTGCGAGGTCAGGTTTAAGTAGGTCGAGGTCCTTTTTGTATTTCTTTCGTGCCGCATCGTTTGCGTCTATTCCAAGTGAGACAAGGGTGTCATTCCAATGCAAAAAGAGATTGCAGGCATGCAAGCAAGTTCTAGCGCACCATGGAATTGGAAATCTGCCCTTCCTGCTTTCCTCTTTAACCTCTTTTCCCACTCATCGTTCTCCTCGATACTATACTCCCAATTCCGCTTCCGCTCAAGATCCTCGCCAGCCTCCTCTGCATCAGCCTTTTCACGAAGTGTCTCTGCCAACTTGCGCTCTCGCTCCAGCCGGGCTTGTTCGCGAGCGGATACGCGGTGCCTATTGTGTTCCTCGATACGGTCGGTATGGTTGGCTTGTGCCGTCAAACGCTAGATAATTAAGAATTAAGAATCAAACGAAACGAATTGTAGGAAGAATATTACTCACTATTTTCGACCGCAATGCTTCCAACTTGGCTTGTCGTTCTTCCATCGTCATTTTGGGTTCTGGGGTCGACGAAGCATGATTAAGCTCCATAGACACTGCCGATCCACTCCCAATCGCCTCCGCGACCGGGACTTCCCCAACAGCGTTGGCAGGGGAGCCAAACGGTACACTATCCTGGGAAGTCTCTATTTTTTGCTGTGGCGCCTCAGGAGGCGCAACTTCAGCGCTCAATATAGTTTGCAGAGTGCTAGAGGCATCAGCAGGGATAAACTCGCGCTCGACACTGGGCCTCGGGCTCGTGTTGGTTGGCTCTGGGTTTTCAATTCCAGTCTTCGACCTTCTTCTCGACCGCTTTGGCGCAGACCCGTCCGTCTTGCCCGCTTTTCCTTTCCGAGGTGGCATAACAACAACGTTGTGGAGCGATGGCGGTACTTACTCACATGACCGATTATGTAATCCGAATCCTTTGTATCCTCGCGTTCGTCACTTGCAGGGAAGCTTCACTTGCAACCGTTACATCTCTCAGTCTTCGTGTCCCCTCTTCTGAGTTGTCTTTGAAGTTCTGGAAGCAGTTTTGGGCTTTGGGATGGCGACTTCTCCTTATCCTCACTATGCGTGGTAAGTTGTCTTCGGGCTTCTAGGGGAAACTCGTGGAAAATGCATTATGACACCATGTGCTGACGTTGCTATCTGTTTCTAGGGCCCTCGGACATTTCGAAGTCCTTCTGGCGGCATTTTGGTATTTCAAAGCCTATGTTACGTTCAAATCAGCCGGCTACGTGTGGTATTATAAAGGTTTGTAGCATACGTCCAGGCGGGGCAGGCGTCGTGGCTCATTCATTACTCGCGTGTATTGCATTCGCTCGTCATAGCATCATTCCTCGGTGCCATTGTCAGTTATGCCATTGTTTGCTAGTGGGTCACGATGTTTTCCTCGAATCTTGAGGCGGCACTCATTTCGACCTAACAGCAAATCTCTCGGAGTCCGTAACAACATTTTCGTCGTGGACGACCGATTAACTTAACCTTCTTTTTAGCCTATCAGGCCCGACAGATATTATATACAGCGTGCACTTGCTGACGAGGTACGGCAGTTCGGAATTTACTGAGGATTACGTGTTTATGACGATTCGTCCAGAATGTCCAATACTTTGTGATGGCCTTGCTATGGTGGTCTTCGAAGCCTCTGCCACGTGAGTACTAATTGAGCTTGTGAAATTTATATTTTCCGAGTATAATTCTGTAGTGGCCCTCGTCCCGTACTTCGTATTTTCATTGTTCCATACCTTGACGTTCGTGCGGACAAATATCGTGCCGCTTGTATTCCCACCTCAACAGCCTGCTGGCGCTAATGGCAGTGCCTCTCCGGCATCCTCCCAGTCACCAATCGCCAAGACTATTCAAACATGGGTCAAGAGTGCGTTTCTTTTTTTGCGGAACCGCTGATCAGTTATAGACTTTCCCCACTCATTTACTACTCATAGACAACTATGATGCTGCCATGGCCATTGTTGCCCGTATCGAACTCCTTATTCTCCTTCGTGCCATTATCGGGATTGTCACTCTCCAAAATTCGCTCCTCATTCCTATCGCCTACGCGCATTTCCTACGTTCGCGCTACTACTATTCCCCATTCACTCGGAGTGCCGTTCATTCGGCCACTATCCTCATAGAGTTCTACGTGAATAAGGAGCAGACACCTCCCTTCATTAAGAAGGCGTATGGAAATACCAAGGAGTTCGTTATCAGGTGGGCCTCGACCCGTTTGGAGCCTCAACCAGCTGGGCAAAGGAGGTGAGCCAAGTAGTAACGCTGTCGCGCGTTGTTGGAGGAAAGAGTCTGCCTCGCTTTTGCGAATTTGGCTTCATTGTGCACTCAGAGTCCTCCCTGCGACATGTCGCTCCTATTTGTCTAATATATCTATATCTTTCTTTGAGCATCGAGCCTTTGACTGCGCTGGTAGCTGGTAGAAATGGTAGGCAGGGTCCTAGCCTCTATAGTAATGTTTTAGCATATGAAGAATCTGGTTGCACACATCACGTGGTCCTAGCAGACAGGAACGGATGGCTTCAAGAATTCCAATTCCGTCCTCCCACTCCCCAAGACCAGGCTTACAGCAGCCTTCGGTACATTTTCCCTCTGACGGTCGAGATTCACCTACTTTTCATCGGCACGCATCTACTGCGTCCATGTCAACCCCCTCTGCGATCTCCGCCTCTGACACTCGGAAAAAGCAGAGCAAGCGTGATGAGGTTCGTCTTACCCTTGACGCTGATTGTGTCCGAGTCTTAAGAGTTCACTTTCTGCATGAATGACACAACATTGGTGAATCCTGTTTTCGACCCTTGTGTTTGTTCTCTGGTGGCCCAAAATAAACTCTCCACCATAAGGCTATTCGGAAGAAGATAGAATCAGAGCTTGCTCGAAAGCGTACCTTGTCCACTCATAATTCGAACAAAGGCCACCGGCGGGGCAAGGCTGCCCCCCCAAAGGGAACCGTGGCTGCTTTGAAGCCCCTGTATGCCCTGACGGTCCCCGAGTCGATGACCGTGTCGGATGCTAGTCAGCTTTGTGCCGCAAAGAGGACGGATTGCGTGCTTGTTATTGATGACGATGAGAGTCTTAGTGGAATTTTTACTGCGAAAGATTTGGCTTACCGGGTGAGTGTGACTAGCTTTAGTGAACACATTTAAGTAACGGAGTTTGGCATCGTGGTAGGTCACTGCAGAGGGTCTTGAGCCTCGTAATACACCTGTTAACCAAATTATGACCGGGTCACCGATGGTCACCCGAGATACAACGAGCGCCACTGAAGCGTTGCAACTCATGGTTCAAAAAGGTTTCCGACATTTGGTGCGCCCGTTCTGACTGGACAGGGTTTGTTTTGTGGCTGAACCGCCCTATCGACACAGCCAGTATGTAACGAGGATGGGAACGTAATGGGTCTTCTCGACATTACAAAGGTCTTTCATGAAGCACTTGACAAGGTTGAACGTGGCTCGTCTGCTTCCCAAAAACTCTACAGTGCCCTCGAAGGTGTTCAATCTGAGCTCGGACCTGGCCTTGCATCCAATCCTCAAGCTGCTGCTATGCTTGCGTATGTCGAAGCACTGCGCGAGAAGACAGCTCTGCCAGATTTGACTACCATCATGGACTCACGTACACAGCCTGCCACTGTCTCTCCAAAGACAACTGTGAAAGACGCCGCCAAGTTGATGAAAGAGAGGAGAACGACGGCTGTGTGCGTTATGGAGCCCGGTGTGAATGGTGCTCCACCTAAGATAGCCGGCATCTTTACCAGCAAGGACGTTGTCCTTCGGGTCATCGCCGCCGGTTTAGACCCTTCACGATGCAGCGTTGTACGAGTCATGACCCCACATCCTGACATTGCTCCCCCGACAATGACTGTGCAAGATGCATTGAAGAAGATGCACGGTTTGTACTTCATACAAATGAGTCGAACATTAATTTGACCCCCCGGAATATTGGGCAGTTGGACATTATCTTAACCTTCCTGTTGTTGAACCTGATGGACGGTTGGTTGCCATTGTCGACGTACTGAAGCTCACCTATGCGACGTTGGAGCAGGTGTGTATATCCTTCACCTTAACGCGAGGACGGGCTCACTCTATCTTCCTAAGATGAACTCCATTGCTTCGGAAACTTCTCAAGATGCCGAGGGAGGTCCCATGTGGGGTCGTTTCTTCGATTCTTTTGGGGCGGGAGATGATAACGAATCCGTCATGTCCGGATCCCATATTCCTCCAGATATGCACCAGTTCCCCGCCTCACCATCTCGAGGCTTAAGCCAGTCTGAGGAGGTTCATCCGAATGACTCTGCCTCTGCAGTGGCTGACCAGTCGGCTCTTGACCGTTCCGGTATTCACCCATCAACCCGCACAGGATCGGTGAACAACGCACCCCCGCCGATTGATGATGGAACATATGTTTTCAAGTTCCGCACACCTAGTGGTCTAACGCACCGTTTCCAAGCTCGCAGTGACAATTATGAGAATATTGTTGATATAGTGTCTGGCAAGCTCACAGCGGATCCGTTCTTCACGACGCCACCTTCCGATGGTCTGGCTCCGGAACCGTCGGATTTCTCGATATCTTATGTTGACAGTGATGGTGATACAGTCGTCATCACGTCTGACAATGACGTCGCCGATGCTGTACGAATCGCTCGGGCAGCTGGTTCCGACCGCGTGGTGCTCTTCTTGCAAGGCGGGATGGGATGGGATGAAGCCGGTGCGCGTGAGGGTGAGAAGAAGGCGAGAGATGCTGCTCTTGCTGCTGCTGCCATCGAGACTGAAGTTCGCAAGGCCGAAACCACTGAGCCCACCCATTTTCCAGATGGAGCAACAATCCCACCACCCGCCCGCACCCCCATATATGGTGCTGGAGATGACATTTACGGCATCCCTCGCGACATGATTCTGCCTGCCAGCTTGGGCTTCCTTGGTGTTGTAATCATTGGCGTCTTCATTGCCTCTCGCATGTCGCGCGATTATTAGAATATCTCCGTACTTAATCTTTTTGTTTATATTTCCATTTCCTTACTACCTGATTCCCATAGCATCATTTCCTCCCTTCCTTACCCATCAACTGGACATGGCTTGATTGTCTATTTTGGTTTGAGTGCATTTGAGCGATCTAATGAATTCATTGCGTTCGGAAAGCTCCATTTCAATTTCGACGAGCTACAACGTTGACTGATATTCATGGGAGACGCTGTCCGAGCCGAGGTGGTCAGCGCGCTCACAAAGTCGCTGTACGCGGCAATGCTGGATGACAATTTTCTCGACGTGCTCGTCGATGCACACAGAGTGGTGGTTCGGACGCGCGAATTATGCACTGTCTGCCACACACAGTGAGTCAATCATAGGTACTTATTTGAAGTGTTCAAACCGATGTGACTTACGTTTCATGGCCTTTTCCCTGTCCTATAGCTGCCAGAGACGTGAGTTTACCTATCAAATGGTTTGTTAGAGGCAGTGGGCGCTGACGATCGAGCATTAGCTCATGACCCTGGCCCATCGAACCCCCCTATCGCAAAGTCTCTTGAAATTGGTCCACTATCTCGTCCGCTCACTCCTTCCACGAGCTTCCAAAGATTACCCTCGGCAGGTCCCGCTGCATCGTCGTCTAAAGGCACCGATACCATGCTCAATTGTCTGAATTGCCCAAGACAGGTGTGTAAATCTTGTTCTCCGTTCCCAGCGTTCTCGTTCACCTTTTTTCCTTATTGAACTAACCTACGTCCTATGTCCCACAGATTTCTTCCTCGTGTTATGCAAAACACCTATCTTCATGCATGAATATAGGGAACTCAAGACGAGGTGCCGCCAGAAGTACCAACGCGAGGACCATGTAAGCGCGTGTTGACCACTTATTTTGCATAAATTTACTTGTGCACATCTATAGACATGACCCGGAGACTGGATCACAGTATCTGGAATCAGGGAGCGAGGTGGACGAATCCAAATCTATTGCAAAAGGTAAAGGGAAAGCAGCGTCCGGTGACAAGACAACTGGCAAAGGGAAAAAGCGGGCAAGTATCAGACACACCAAGGGGGGGGGACGGTGGATTGCTAATGTTCGTCCCTTTCTAGGCTGCCGAACCAAAAGCTAAATCTGTGAGCCCGAAAAAGCAGAAGACAGCATTGCTGCAAAGTATGAGATTCTTTTCTCGATTAATCATGTCAGTAATCTTGGTGTTCCTGTAGAACCTATCCCCCTACCACAGGCGGCGCCGCCACCTGTCGTCAAAGGTGTCAGTTCCACCCTCATTGCTTATTATCCATGCATCACCCGACTGATATTGGATTTCACAGACGGGTCCACCACGAAGGCCCGCTTATGTTCCTGTCAATACTACAAACGGACACCCATCCCAGCCAACTCATGCTCAAGGCCATCTGACCCCTTCACGTCCATCCTCCGCAGTACCACCCATGCAAGTTCCGAACACAAATCCGAATGTGCCATCCCGGTTGCGGGCATCGTCCGTCGCTTCAGCCTCCTCTTCTGTTTCTCAAGGTTCGAAATCGATGGATACTCGAACGACTCGAACGCCTACTCCTGGTCTCTCAACAGGGACCGCCGCCAGCAGCCAGACAAGTCAGGGGACGAGTCAAACTGTGATTCAGAACGGCAGTGTTCATGGCGGTCACAAACCCGCCATACCTATTCCCGGTATCAATGGACAATTATACGGGGCTAAACCCATGGCATATCCCACCGGTGAGTCCATTCAAATTCTACAAGAGTGGCAATTCATGTAATATTATTAGGTAATTGGGTCGTGCATTCTGGCTCACACGTAGATCCACCTCATGGTGGTAATTCATATCTCAACTTTCTCAGATGGCTTTCACTGACTCTTTGTTTAGATGCTGACGAAGTCGTTGACAGCGATTCATCCGATGCAGATTCCGATTAATCACACGTAGCTTCATCTGTCCACGACACCTTGCAACGCATCATCACACAACTCATCATCGATTCGTCAGATTACACTATATCTCCTGCTCCCATCTATTTGATTATGCATTCCATCCCATCTTGATCCACAACAAACTTCAACTACACTAATTCATGGCACTCCGTTCAAGTATCTTTGAATAAAGCATCCGTCAAGATCCTGCGTTCTGGACTAATCTTCAATCCCAGCAATCCATGCAGTAATACTATTCTCATTTGTCTCGCTTCATATACATTGGTTTCGCTTGTCTTGAATCTATTTGCGCACTTGTACACCCAACGGAGCATGGTCATACATATATATTCAAGGAAACTTGCCAATTGATCCTTTGTCTCCAGTTAATTCTCTCTCATATTGTCAGAATGTTCATATTTGACGCTCAATGAACGAAATAGCGTGAGCTGAGAATGGTTTTGGATAGTGCACGCCAAACACTGTGGGAAGTAAATGGCCGTAAAAAACCATTTTTGGTCTGGTTTTTGACCATTTACCACTGTTTTCGTGATATTTTTTTCATTGTAAATTACAATATACGTTTCACGATGCTAAATACCAGACTCTTCCCTGCGTAAATTACCACTCAATTCATGGTATTCGAGCTGCGATGTATTGTACAAAGGTCAGAGGTATGGACGGCTGGAGTTCGGTTAGTCATCGTCGTCGATTGACCTTGCGAGCTCGTAACTGCGATCGATGATGGCCCAACGACGGGAATGCGTACGTACCATAGGGAAATCGGCCACATACTGAAGAGACCGAAGCGAGAGCGATAATTTGACTGTAGTAAAAGAGGTCGGTGCCAAGGCAGCATCCATGTAAGCACCGCTATCTGAGACAAGGTCAACGAGGTGACGCATGTTCTCACAAGCGACGTTTTGTGACGTGCTCGGGGATTTGAGTCCACAGCTGCTTCAGCTCAATAGTGAGAGCCATGAAATTCAAACACTCCTACCCAGACGAAGGATAAGTTCCTAAATTTAATTCGTCGTTTTTGGGCCCACATTGTGGAAACTTTGTCATCTCCCCCGACAATGCGTGATTTCCCTAGCGAGGCATAACCAAGAGCTCGATTATATGTTGGTACGGCTTGTTGTAGACATTAGTAAACTAGATCGCGACTTTGCGATGGGTGGAATTGTCAGGAATGTTTCTTGTCGCGAGGAGCCCCAAGTATGGAAGCTGGCACTTAAAGATGTAAGCAGAGACTGTGGCGCTTAGACTGAAATCAGACTAAGTTGTTCTCGGCAGTTTCCATTCCACTCAGTGCCTTATCCTCTCCACCATACCATACACGTTCTGCAACCTGCTCATTTCCTCCCAATTTGACTATCCTTTCGCTATGCAACTAGCTACTCTTCTCAGAAGTGGCAAGTACTTATGAATATGGACACTGGGCATGCTGCCTCACTGACAGCGATGCCATGAATGGCTTCCATCTGGACGTGTTTCAACGCGTCTTTACGCGTCTTTAACTCATTGGTGAATGAGAAATAGCATTTATTTATTTATTTTAGAAAATCGTCAAGCCTCTCACAGCAAACAGGAATCTATGTTACCCAAGGGTCACACCTGTGGTAGAAAAGCTCGTGCATCTGCTTAGGGCATAGTTTGGCCCCATGTGCGCTCATTAGTTTATCTCCCAACTACCTCTTCTCCCTCTGCTGCCTTGCTAATTTCCCCCTGTGCTAGTAACCAAAAAACGCGACTGGAATTCGAAAGCGATGATAATGACCAAGGCCCGATGACAACCACCTCTACTAGTACCGCCAAAAAAGAACCCCCGTGGTCGTCACTATGATGGCCCCACAACAGAAGAAAGTCTGAATCGATTAACCTGCCTCGCGAAGCTGTGCGCAAGGGTTGAAGTTCACTTATGGTATCTTCTACCGTCTTATTCACAGCCCGAGACTTCCTCCACTTTCATTAGGTTATGCTCTGTCAAATCAACCTCATCAAAATCGAATCAATGCTCGACTTTTATGCTGCCCATCTCTTGCTCGCACTCAACTCCGTACTTTTCTCGTGAGCCCAAGGCTTCAATCCTGCGTTATGCTTTCCGGATCGGCTCTTCTTCGTCACTCCTCGAATTGACCTTTGTGTCTTTTGTTCACCTCAACTCGGTTCATTTCCTCACTTGCAATGACTGCTATTCATCGCAACGTAACCTAGAGTCTCCGCCATAAATGTAGTTGTAAATGACGATAAATAACCACGTTTTTCACCAAATTAACAATATTGTAAATGATGAAATCCGACCGGTAAATTACAAAATGCACCCTTGTAAATTGACCGTTTACAATCGTTATCGTGGTGGAGAATCATTAAAAAACAGGTCATCTACCTCCTTTAACGTGGTAAAGGAATCCTGGTAAAATGCAATGGACCACATTGTAAAACACAGTTTTAATCATGTTAAAAATGAGTGTATTATACAATGGTTAAGATGATCTTTTACGCATCACTAATTCCCTCTGTGCAAACCTCGATGGTACCCACTCGGCTGGCAGACATTGAGTGGCTCCTTGGTGCATTCTGATTCCGATACCGGGATTCTTGGAACGTTTTCCAGGGAGCCAAGTGATCACTGTCGCCCCCGAAGCGGTGCCAAACGGCGGACGGTCATTGCAAGCTGTCCTTGGGCAACGAGTGCCGCTGGTGGCTCCCAGATGGGTGTTGCACCCCGTACACCGTCAGCCTGTCTCTATCATTGTATTGAGTTTGCATTATTAACAACATGTCGGCATTCAAGGATGGGGGGTGGGGTTCGCGTCATAATGCTCTACGCATTCGATACCTCAACCAGGGGTATGGTTTTCGCTTGAGCTGACGTCAAGAGGCGTGAGAGTCGTGATACTAGATGATACAACAAGAAACACGAAAACGAAGAATTGGGTAACAAACCTACCGGTAGACAGCTTTGTCTGTATGACGTCTTCTAATACTACCAGACGACGCTACAATGCTGCTTGGTACAACGCCTGTAGTGAGCCAGCCCAAGGAAGGTGGTGGTGATTGTCCATCAATAGGAGGGCCAGAAACGTTGATTGGCACTGCACCGGGTGGTGCGACATGCAGAGGCATCTGCCCCTGGGCGTATACTTGAATAGGAAGAGTTGGATCTACATTCTGATGCAATGGCTGGATGGGACGCGAGGGGAGTTGTGGATAGATATGGGAGTGTGAGTATGTACTTGTAGATTGAGTTGCCGATCGCGCGCGAGTTATGGCACTCATTTGCCGGTGGGGGGGAGGACGGGGGATCGAGGTTTGATATGCTGGGCGAACCCGAGATGGGCTTGAGCGACTACCCTGAACTTGTGGACGTGAGACAGATGGTGTGCGTGTCTTGGTTGCAGGGGTAGCTTCGGCGGGGACATATCCTGCCTTGTTCGAGTCAGTAGAGGAGTCAGAAGACTCCTGATTCGGTTTCGGATAACGGTTTGGACTCGCGTGAGCTCGGTACCATGGTTCGCCAAGGACTACTTCTCCACGCCTAACCTTCCCTGGAATGTAAGTCACAGTTACATGATCCCGACTTCTCCAAGGAAGTGCCCAGACAGCCTTAAAGAACCGGCCCACAGGACCAAAGCGGGATTTGATGAGACGTGGTTTATCCTCTCCTTCGTAGATTTCAAGGCCAACTGGTTCTCGTCGGAACCGAGAAACATGCTCTGATGGATCTACCGGCTGCGAAGGATACGCAGCAGGATCAGCCATAGCCACCGGTGATGACTCTTCCTGGTCCGATGCTGAAGCATCGTATGACTGGGTCCCGCCAGCGGGATGAACAGGTGGACTGGTTCGCGGCTCCCTCTTCACCGGAAGATAAGATGCTCGTCGATATGCGCGATAACTACGGGTACGTGCGTGAGGTCGTCGCACTGAGGGTTTTGCTACCTTGAGCTGAGGTTCAACCGCCTCATGTGCGACATCATCTTCCCCTGGCCGTACTGTCTGCTCGACTGGTTCTGGAGATGGAATGGGATCTTGATCGGGCTGCACTTCTGCTGCTGTCGCGGCTGAGGGCAATCCTGGCTCCTTAGAAGTCTCCGCATGCCTACTCTCGTCCCTATCCGATGCTCTCTGCGCAATCCTCTCTGACATCATCCGCTTTAGAGGATGGTCCGGATCTGGTTCGAAGAGCCCACCAGGACCAGCATGTAATACATCAATGTCAACAGGCTTATATTGGTCGGCATGTTTAGAAGTCCCACTACTCTTCGCAGAACGCATGCTTGCACTACGAGCAAGCGCGGAGGCAGGACCCTGAGAAAAACGCCGAACGCCTTTGACAACTAAGCCGGCCAGCCGGAAACGGACAAGACCCCTAGGCTTCTCCAGTTGGGGGTCCGGGTTAGCAACATGAAGAGGACCCTTGGACTGATCGCTAACATCGTCTGCACCGTTCGCGCCGTACCGGAAGCTGGAAGGAGGAACAGAGCCAATGGGGTCCTCCACAGTAGGGCCCCTGCCCCGGCGTAATGCGGATTTTGACGGGGTGAGGGCTCGCCGCTGGGTACGTTCAAGCCTCTCTTGCGAGGATAAACTACTACTCAGGACCTCATCAATGTTGGAATCGGGTGGAGAGGCAAACGGCCGGAACGGAGGTGTCATATTCCCAGCGAGAGTCTGCTGCTGCTGATCCTGGTATACGGTACTCGCAGGCAGCTGCGAAGAAGAATATCCATTTGTGATGTCGGTTGGGGGTGACGGTATTTCAAGGTCGATTACGGGAGGCGGCTTGGGAGACGGGGCATGCACTGTGGCCTTGAACTTGGGGCTTCCCTCATCGGGGATCTCCTCTACGGTAGGGGGTCGAGGATGGGTAGGCGCTGGAGGGCCTGCCGAAGTGACACTAGGAGCGTATAATGAACTTCTGGGTGTTTTTGGTAATGGTTTCGACCAACGGCTTGACATTTGTGGGGCGCTTTCCGCGGGCGGAACAAGGAAGGGGTCGGCCAGTGATATCGAACAGGCTGTTAGGAAAACGCTGGAGCGGATGAACAACCCTGCGTAAGAAGGGATGTGTGAAGAATTAGCTTTTGAACCTTACCCAAGCACCCACTGAGAGTAAGCGCGGGAGCACCGGCCAACGTAGTGGATCTGATTAAGAAGGGGATGGGAAAGGGGAGTATGAGTAGGTCATAACGAATCCGACATCCACCATGGGTGACGGAAGTGCTTCGGAAGCCATGAGGCAGCCAGTACAGATATATGTGGCTGTGATTCACATCCCTAACAGGTTCTTTGCCGTTGGAGGCTCAACAGTCAGCTTGGCAAGCGTGTCAGAGGTGCGGAACTTGAGCGGGATATTGCAAAAGTGGAATTGGGAAGGCACCCCAAAATGTTAGAAGGAAAAAGTGATGATGCTGTAGCCGTGAATCGAACACGGGGCCAATCGACTATATATTATATGGCAACGATTGAGGTTACCTCTACCCCACTACAGCCCGTTTAGCTGAATCATCTCAAAAATAAATGTAAGGACTTAAAGCACACTTTAGTCCCAAAATTATGTACATAAGCAAATCTGTGACTGTGCAACAGTAAATGCGCCGGTAACATGACACCTGTTGAATTATGGATCGAGGTCGTAAGCACCTTGAATACGGACAAACCCCCGCGCTAGTCTGACTTACTCGCAAAGATCGTGTTAGTGACTCCGATTCAAAACATCCTACACCAAATGTTATGACGAGCACAGAAAACATGGAGACGGTCATCAATAAAGGCGTCAGTGCAATGGCCTTGGTATTGGGTGCCAAGATTGCGACCACCATTAAGCTAGTACACATACTAAATTCAACGCTCATCGCCCATCACGTCGGTAACAGGGGATACAAAACTACCTCAATCCATCTTCCTGGGCGTTTCCCATTTATTGCTTTGAGGCACCTTTTCGCCTCCTCTGATGCCCAACAGGATCGCATCCCGAGCATCTTCATGTCTTTCCATTTTGACTGCCACGGCAGCGCAGCAATCTGATCAAAGTGCATGAGATCTGGATTGTGTGAAATGTCAAAAGTATGCAAAAGCGGCAGGGTACGCATGAGAAGGCGGAAAGGTAAAGTGGTTGTAGATGATAATGAGATGAGCGATAAATGAAGAAGGGTGTGAGGTAAGTAGGTAAAAAAAGCATCAGACAGAGACATATGAAGAGTGATCAGCGTCGTGAGGGGTTCTCTGTCATCTTCTGCTCGTCTGGAGGGAAACGGCATGTCGGATTGATCTACATCGTCCCACGACCAGTTGTCTGGGGTATCTAAAATGGTTCCAGAAGAAGGATCTCCAAAGAGAGTTTTGGATATATCTTCTATGTCTTTCCAATGTATTCCCCGAGATGTCTGCGAACGACCCACCAGAATAACCTCCCCGAGAGTATGCCGATCCGAACCCCAGACTGCTTTTGAGGCTCGGGGACCAAGAGGCGAAAATATCGCAGCATAGCGAGCGATCAGAAGCCGGATGTGAGGTGGGAGTGATGAAACGTATTTCGAGGGGTACATTGTTGTGAGGTCTGAGGCAACAAATCGAAGAAGACAGAGATGGCGGAGTGAAGGGAATCTCTGTGGGTGCGCTAGAGATTTATCAAAGTCCCAAATCAGATCGGTCAAAAGTCCACCCTCAAATTGTGCCTCCTTCATTGACAGCGACAGTGCCTCTTTTCTCCATTGGGGTGTATGTTTGTGCGCGTTGAGATTACCACGATGGCGTTCCCAGCTTGGAGGTGGCTTAGGACCTGATGGAAGTTCAGAAGACGGCCCAGTTACCAACGCTGCAGGGTCGAACGAATCCAGATCCCATGCAGAGAGGAAAGCCGGTAACGACGAGTCATACGGTGAGATTGGGGCACCAGGTCTACGGCGGGGTGCCTGTGCTGATCTGCTAGATGATTAGGAATGACGCCATAAAAAGCGAAACCAATGGAGTGCACCTCAATGACCAAAGCAGCTTGTTCACCTTTGATTCGGCCTGCATGAGAGTGCTGCTGGTGCCTGGATTGATTTATGTGATATCCACAAATCACACACCCCTGTACGTCCAATATACAGTTAGGCAACACTTCAACATAGTGACGAGTGTTCGCACGTCTGAAATGTCGGATGATGATGGCAATCCTTCGCCGCTTTCACTATCAATATTGACGGCCTCATGATCACATGGTATTGCACCGATTTCCCTCGTGTATGCCACGGTGCAAAGAACTGGTAACCGTAGCCACAAAATCGTGGGATGACAAGATAGAATCACCACCGTGCGCGTCGAGCGCGTGTCCTCAATGTTTGTGTGCCTTTGCGGCTAAGTGGCGCTCAAGTTGTTGGAAGAGGTTTTTTTGTCGTTGCCCCATGGCTGCGTTGATGTATGGCAGCGCGACAATCGTCAATACATGGTAAGGGTGTTGGTCGATGCCTCTGGCTTTTGGTGTCGGGATTACATAGTTGGAAGTTTGCTTTTGTTTTCCCGAACCCCCACTTGCAAGCATTGGAATAAACTAGAACCTACGGTGGCTACCAGTATAGTGCGTATCAATCCGAACATAATGATTGACTTTGTCAAAGCACTTTAAATTGTTTCCAAAGCGCAAATCAATGTGAGGCGCACAATTACTTGTGTATGCAAGATGGGCGCATATATTGGCGCCTCGAACCCGGCGCTCTCCTCTGGAGCCAGAAATCCAACTGTGCTCCCGTCGCCCCTCGCTCTCAGGGAGCGGTTGGAATAAGGGATCATTTTTGAGACTCCAAATGAACGCGTTCTACAAGATGTGGTTCGTGCACGGTGGTTGGAAAGAACTGGCTTCAATTCCACCGACGGACTCTCGTGAGTAACATACCTCGGCGTTTCTTTCCTGCTATGTCTCAATTAATTGAGCTGCAGTAGCACTGGCCCCTCAGGGATCTGCAGTGAGTCACCAAACAACTACTGGACAGCTCATCTCCGAAGTGAGTTCAAAGGAGGATCGATCACATACACCGGCAGACCTCCCTCTGGCGCTGTCGCCGAGTGTTTCCGATGGCATCAAGAAACTCCGCCGCACGACTACTATACCATTGCATTTGAGTCGAAAGCGTTGTTTGGAGGTCAATGAAACCCCGAGTCCAGTAGTGAATATGCCGGGTCCGATGGTCACAGCGCCGTCAATGCCGAAGGGGCCTGGGCAGGAGTCCCGCTGGACTCCTCGGTGGTAGTTCAGGAGGATGGGGGTCGTAAGCTACCTCGTAAACGCCGAAGGAAAGGCCACGCAGAGCCGGTCTCTGGACCAACCAGGATGGGACCCGATAACCCGGAGGGCGTCTCGACAAGGAAGAGAGCGCCGAGGGAGGTCGATGCCAAAGTATCGATGCCCAGTCATCCTAGATTCTTTCCCTCGACAATGGGACAAACCCACACCCGCGAGCAACTGCTGCGCACTCGAATGTTGAGCTGCTGCTTCCCTCCACCCGCGTCAGCCTAACCCCCGACTTGCCACACCGCAGTTGCGCGTAGAATGTATCCCCGTCTGCACCTCATTCCTCCAGTCCCCTGGTCCCCGGGGCTTGTGCTTCTGCAATGAGTCAGGCGCCCCCTCCGTTGCTTTGTTGACGATTGTCATTGGACCAGTCGTTGACAATTTTGGCCATGCATTCTTCAACGAATCGGGAGCAGTCTATTGCTTCTCTTGATCCTTCGTGATGCCTGTCATATGAGACACTGGGTGTTTAGTGTACGTAGACCGGACTTGGCTCTTAACTATAGGCGTTGTGCCTGTGGTTGCCACCAAACAAGCAATGGAATTCGCTTTGAATTATCCCTGCACGTGTTCCCACACTAGTACTTTGAACCGAGTTGTGAATCTGGCAACCAAGGTGCTACCAGCAGGCCAAAAGCACCCCCAAATTTTATTCCAAGTTGTTTTCGGTGACCGCCCAATGTGGCCGCTTGTAATCTATTACGTCCCCACCACCCTCCAGGGGCCCGAACTGATCTGAACTGGGTTCTGGAACTTTTTCGTGATCATACATATAGAAGAGGCTGCAATAACCAGAGTGCTCCGTCCTACCTCCTCTGACCCAAATCCTGATTCCTGAGCGTCGTTCTTCTCGCTAACAGGCTCGTAATTAATTTTTCTCTCTTGTCACGGTACTGCTTTGTCACCACTCGTCGCTCAATCCTTTATGATTCAGGATGTGGTGGGGGGGTTCAGATGTCTTCGCATGGCTCTCGTCGTCTCTCCTTCTCTTGATACCTGTCGTTCATTGTCTTACCGAAAACCCCTTCATCATCAAAGAGTCCGCCCAACTCCCTCGTGGCTGGTCCATTTCGTCAAGACCTTCTCCGCACGAACGCCTAACCCTTCACATCGGTCTCGTACAAACATGCCCTGAGGCAATCGAGTCCCTGCTTTACAACATTAGCGATCCAAGCAGTTCTTCCTACAGTCAGTTCCTTTCTCGCGAGGCCGTCCTTCCGTACTTCAGGCCCCCCAACACGACCCTCCTTGCTGTCAACAACTGGCTCCGTTCCAATTTGATATGGCCACCAACAAAAATATCCCCTGCAAAGGATTGGTACACGATTAGTGCGACCGTCGCTCAAGCAGAGGAGCTGCTCAATGCCGAGTTCAAAGCATATATCCAGCCATATTCGGGCGAGCGGATTGTGCGAGCGACAGCATATGGTGTTCCCCGCACCTTGGATAAGCATATCGATACAATCCAGCCAATTACAATCTTTCCTGGTGCGGGACGGTCGACGAGGTCATTCTCGAATGTGCGTCGATTAAGCTTCCCGGGCCCTTCGGACAGGAGACGTGTACGCGCACTCAACGCGCCGGATGAAGTACACCTCGCAAAAAGTCCTCATGTGATGCTCCCATCTCAGTTTCCTAACTGCACCTCCAGTCCCATTGCGGTCTTTCCGCCTTGGTGTTTGAAGAAGATGTACAATGCTACTGGATACACTCCTTTGGGCAATTTGTCGAATTTCGTTGGAATGTCAGCCTGAACTCCTACTCTAACACCCGATCCGTACTAAAGGGATACTATCCTCTAGCACTGGCTATCTGGATAACTTCGCACAGCGGTATGCCATATCCAGTCCACCGCGAAGAGCAGATTGAACCATTATGCTTGTGCATGGCTAACAGATCCGACATGGAGGACTTTTTTAAAGCCTATGTTCCCCAAATCGCGGCTACCAAATACACATTTAGTATCGTTAGTCCAACGAGTGCGTTATTGGTACCTCCCTGGGTTATGGTTATTAATAGAAATGCACTTTTTCTATTCGAAATGCAGATACGGAGGTACCCCAGAAATACATCTATGGGGATAGCAACAGCGAAGCCAACTTGGACGTTCAGATCGGTATGTCACAATACTCTCAACTCACAGGCTAACCCGATAACTCGAACCATTGACCCGCACACAGTCGGAGGGTTAATTTACCCCATCCCCAGCACATTTTATTCTGTTGGTGGTATGTCGCTATTTTCTATCTTCCTGTCGTGACTCGTTCATCACGTCCACAGGCAGCCCGCCATATAATCCTGATGTGAATACCCCTTTCAATGCAAACGAACCATTCCTTGAACTAGTGCATTATTTCATGTCTCTACCTAATGAGCAACTGCCCTCAGTACTCACAACAAGCTACGGTGATGATGAGCAAAGCGTACCACGTGCATATGCAGTGCGGGTTTGTAGAGGATTTGCGGCGTTAGGCGCGAGGTGAGTTGTGCGTGTGGCGGGACTGTCTTTTCCACTAATTTTGACTCACGCAGGGGAGTTTCGGTCATTTTTAGTAGTGGTGATATGGGTGTCGGCCCGTACGCTGACAGGCACTCGAACGTATGGTTTTCCTGCAACTTCTGGTTCAAGTTGTAACTCTCAAAGAGTCTAGGACTGTCTCTCTAATGATGGAAAGGACCGCACCATGTTTATTCCTTCCTTTCCCGCTACATGTCCGTTCGTCACTACCGTTGGCGAGACATACGGTATACCACAGCAGATGGCGGACTCAGGTTCGAGTGGAGGATTTTCGAATTACTTCAAGAGACCAATGTACCAAAGTGAGTCACTGAGATATAGATATCAATGGGGCCGTCAATTGTTCGTAGGAAACGCAGTTTCGGAGTATGTCAAGAAATTAGGTAAGACCTATGCCGGGATGTACAACCCGAGTGGACGTGGGTTTCCGGACTTGTCGTCTTACGGTGAGTAGAACTCCCACCCATTCCCGCTCGCACCGCGGAACCCACCCTTGTCCGTTCAACAGGCGAACGGATACCATATTACAATGCTCACCAACTTTCGCTTTGCTTTGGAACATCCTGCGCTGCACCAACTGTGGCGGCTCTCGTCGCTTTGTTGCATGATCACCAACTCCGACGGGGAAGGAGGAGATTGGGGTTTCTAAATCCGTTGCTTTATTCGGGCCCTGCTCGGAATGGTTTGACCGATATCATAGCGGGAAATAATCCGGGGTGTGGGACCGATGGTTTCAGTGCTGAGAAGGGGTGAGTACATGATGCCCGGCCAGAGTTCGTGCTTTAACTTTCTTCATGTTGGTTTTCCCGGGTTGCGCAAATCTTGAAGGTGGGATCCCATAACTGGTAAGTCTATTCCTTGTGGCAATGACTCCCCGTCATATCACTGGCTCATTCATCTCGCCTACATCGTATCCAGGTCTAGGGACAATAAATTTCGGCAAAATGCTGGAAGTTCTTGACAAGATAGCAGCACAGACACATGGAGCACCATACGAGGACTTTGCAAACTGATATCATGCGCCGCCGCTAACTGGTGTGATCTTGATCCTAGTAGTTTGTCGGAGGCGTTGTCGAATGAACTCCCCAGGTCGTTCACACTGAATTCGAGCGTTCTACTGCGCGCGCGGTTCTTTGGACCTTCGCTTTGCATCAATTGCCGTGCTGTACTCCTTTAATTTACCGTCATAACTAATGTAGCGGCACATGCAGAATTTATACAGCGCTATACGATGCGCATTATTATCTACTCCAAAATATTGACTCACGTATGCCACACCCCAAAGCCTGTTCATGCCGGGTAATGTGTGTGCCATGAAGCAGTGTACGCCGCGGGTGATTTTCCAGGCGCCTTGCCTCTGAGAAGGTTATTACTATACATGGGGCCAATGCTGCACTGATAGTCGCTCGGTTACTCCTGTGTTAGGTCTATTCTGTAGGCTCGCATGAAGGAGGCAGGCTCGCTCCAGATAGAGGGAGAGGGTAATATTGGATCTACTGCGGTCTGGGAAGCGCCGTCCTCCAACACATAAATTACATCCCACAACTCATCCTCGCACGGTTGCTCCTCACTTCCGCGGACCTTTTCTCACCGAGTGTCAATCAACATGCCCAAGAAACCAAAACAACCGTGCAAAATCTGCAGAGGGGCTGTTTGCTCCCCTGGTCGCGACCGGGCACAGGTTGCAGGCACAGTGAGGAATACAGCCAATCAGCATAACCGCGCCTGATGTATCAGCTCCAGGGTTTTTCTGGTCCGCGTCCTTCTATGGGCAGAAGTAGCAAGCTCTCTCCCCAGCCTGATGAAGTTGACCCGAATTCATCATTCGGTATGAGAGGCAGGGACTCCAGCATGGAGACGCCATAAGGTCTGTGCTCACTGGACAATCCTTCCCCACCCCACTCTATGGTCCACAGGGTCAACCCCAACATACATTGCTCGCTAGACCGGCCGAGCCGCCCGCACCCGTCTACTATGGGGTCAACAACTGTTGGGGGGAGCGCCCTCGATGCATGTATTTACAGTTATTTACACCGATCGTTCCTAATTCAGTAGTCTGCCGCTATGCTGTCCAACCTCGTCCTTTCCACAACAACCATCTGAGCCAACTGCCAACCATCCATACCCAGCAAGCTCAATGGTCGTATCCATTACGGGGGACACACCACCCCAGTCTAGGCTCTGGGCTCTGGCCGAACGCACCTGGAGCCTACCATGGACCACCGCCTCCGTGTACGGCGCCCAACCCGGATCAAGGGCAAAGTTTGCGGCGGCAACGTCGGCATATGCATGGCGAGCCTTCAAATGGTCCATCTTCCGTAAGTAAACCCCCCCTGCAGGCATATAAATGGTATTGGGCTGATGAGCAATTGTGCTGGCCAGGCTGACGAGCCACTGGCTGTCAGTGGTCGATCACCAAACACTTACGGTGCCATAGGCACCCCTTCCCCAAGGACAGGGCGAATACAGGCACGTTGGGCTATCGATCACCAAACGGCTGCGCTTGCCTTCTGGCCAACAAATTTTCAACTCCTCTGCATTACTCCAACCCAGTGATGTATCAATCATACCATGTCATCCCTGTTAGACTGTCCAAGCTCCTGCACACACCGTTTTCCATTATGCTGTGACGACTCGGCGTTATTGCCCACCTGCTTTGGGCAGCTCCGTCGTGCTTAGCCCTGTAACATAGTTCGATGCCTGTATACACCGAAACTTTGTCAAGGATATGTTCGTTGGCGTTCATGCTTCCAGGACTGGGTGATGAGGTGCCAGATATATGGACTCTGCGAGGAAGAACATATAAGTATACTAGTTCCTTCTTCCGGGGGTCAGATTACCAGAATATATACCACATGGTATCGTCAACTCTCGGGCTATATCGTGCCTCACGCTGCCAACGAGTTTTCGCGTACTGTAGGAGTTCCTGGCTGTATATCACCCACATGCTCACAGAATTACCCTAAATCTATAATTATATACCGCAACTAAATCGTGAAGGTACACATCGTTGCCACCTTGCTCGATCTCTGCTTCTGTTTCTTGTTCCAATCAGTTCACGCAGCCCAATATTGGTGGCGTATTCAGACTCCGATGCTTGGCGGTCACATTCATAGCCACTCCCCTTCAAGTCACGGCGGCCATTCCAGACCTTCGTCTACGCATCTGTGTAGATGCTCCTCCAAAATCCTCGCACTCACTCTTATCATTATGATACGAGTGTTGTGCTAGCTGGTTGCTCCGCTGGGAGAACCTCCTCACTTCCACCCCTCAGATCATGAGGCTGCATAGCATCATCACATCTTAGACTAAATGGTGGAGAGCATTCAGTTGTAGGCGAATCCTCGTATGGACGAATTTCGATTGGGCTTGGCCCTCAGTGAGGTAAATTGTATCGCGCGTCGCAGGCAAAATTGACTTTGTGACCGTACGTCTGTGGCGAGCTCTGAATTCTTTGTCTTCGGCGTGGACAGTGAATAGTATTGTTGGGGCGCTCATTTGTTGTTCCAGTTTCTGTCCGCATTCTCCTAGATGTTTGCTGCCTTCGACAACGCAAACATCCTCAGCCTCCCAAATTCACCCTCGCTGTGATGCAATCGGGCCCACTCTTCTGCATCACTCTGAACCAGAACACTACAGAAAGGGTCTAATCGCGGAACAAAGCTTCCTTGGCATGCCCAAAATCCCGGATGGTGCTGCACAATTTGCAAGAAAGCTGTTTGCTCACCAGGTTGGGTAGCAAACGCGGTGAGGGATGCAGCCAATTGGCATAGTCATCACTAATGTATCACCGTCTCCGGGGTCCATTTGGCTAGAACTTATGCACCAAGCGCCTTACTGGCCTCCCCAGCCCGAGGTTGACCCTGAATCTGTCGCGTCACACGAGAGACAGGGGCTCAAGATCGTGACACCATACGATCTTTACTCACTGGGGAATTGCTGCTGACTTCAGTGTATGGTTCACCGGGCCAACCTCAGTGTGGTTCGCCGACTGCGCTAGTTGAGTCGCGTGGATCTGTTTGGGCACACGAACCGACTGCCACAACAGATCTATGCTGATAGATCTGCCTTTTCACGCCAACCTGACCCTTGGAAGGATTAATGTGTCTGGGCACCACCACACATGACACACATGATGCCTGGCGGAGTTCAAAGACAAGACTCGTGGCAACAAACGAAACAGATCCGAGTTGTCAATCCGTCCAACTCTTTTGACCGTGAATGCTGCTGGACTGAGCCTAGTCCGGCTGTCCGCAGTCGGTATCCCAGTGACTATGGTGCCGTAGGCCCCTTCCCGCAAGCAAAGGGACGTTAGGCTGTCAACTACTGAGCAACCGCCTCGCCTTCCTAGCCAACAAATTCCAACTGGACTTCGCCTTTGTCACCCGGTAGACTGTCCAGTCCCTCGAATTCTCATCCCTGGTTATTTATATGTGATGACTCGGTGCTATGACGCGCCTGAGCGTGTTCGGCATGCCTGGCCCTGGGATGGAGTTGATGTGTTGACCCTTGTCTAGGTACTCCTTGTGATCCGCCTGTTGGTGTACAATTAGGAACCGTATATATGCACATGGAGTGTGCGGAAGAACACAACATGTTAGTTTCTTCCACATATATCCTGATCCTATCGGAGGCTACCGGTGAGCCCTATGGTGTTGTTGGTTCTCAGGCTGCATCGTCATTTTTCTTGCTGTACAGATTGATCAGGGACAATACGTCATGAAAACCGGCAGCATGCTCGGATCAGCTCTTGAGCAGTGCTCCACTATTGCCAGTTCTCCATAACCCAGAGTCCTCCATCAGTGACCAATATTCCCACCTATACCCGAGCAGTACTGTTATCTTGCTTCCTCTGGCATCCCCCTGCTTTCTTTCTACTATCAATCATTACCATTCCTCACATGCACAATGGATTAGGAGAAAGGTCAACATCCCACATACCTTGCACACAGACACATGATCTACATGATCACCTGTCTTGGTTACTCCTTCCCAGCCACATCGTAGAAGGCTTAAAAGCCTTGACTTTTCACCCTTATCTCTCTCCCTCAGTTCACTTGTTCAGAACTGAGGTGAGCTTTCTTGTCTCCACTGTCTTAGTCAATGACTAAAACCCTTGTAAATATCCTAGTGCTTACAATGTGCTAGGTAGATAAGCAATTCATTCAGTTTGCTTGTTCAGTACTGAGCACTTACAACATGCTAGATTCTCACATGGCATCAGCAAAATATTGTTATGCTCCTGAGTGTTCTGGAGTATGGAGAGAACTGGGAGAATTGGCTGGTCCAGGAACAGCTCATTTCCTCTGGAGTTGGCCAGGTACTCCAGGGCACTCCCAGGAGGGGATGGAGAATTGCTTTGTGCACAAACATATCCAGTAAATACAATTTAAATGCTTCAAAGTGTATAAGGGTGAGAAGCTTCTGGGAGCTCCTGGAGCATTTGAAAATGAAAAGGAAAAAAGAGGGAAGATCCCCCATGAATACCTCCTGTCATATCCTGGAATCCCGACCCCATGCACTCCCACCACACCACACCTTCCTAACAACTTCACCATCCCCTACACCATGCCTCCCCACTCCCCAAGTCACCTTCCCTCCTGACTGTCTCAGCTCCGGTCTGGTTGCGGCACACCAAGCCTTGGCCACCCCCATCCCGGAAGCTCAGTCCCGAGTCGGAACATTCGGAGACTCCAGATTTGCTCCAATATCCCGACGGACCTCCAACATCCCGTGACATACCCTTAAACCATTTCTTCACCCATTTCATTTATTGGAGTCACCCAACATCCTTCGGATACGCAACTCTGCTTTCGGAGCTACCTGCATCCTTCGGTGACCTCACTCACGTCATCATTTACTAGTCAGCTTCCATTCTTAGCATGACTATCTTCTTCTTACCATTCAGTCGGCTAACCCCCCTCACCCATTTCTCATTCCCATTCATTTTCCAGCCTCTTACTCCACCCTCCTCGATCCGACACCTAGCGCTGGAGGTAGCAGTCCTGCCACCTGCCATCTACGTGCTGTCCAAGCAACCCCCCAGATCCCTCAACATGGCTGTAAAGCTGACCACCTTGACCTCCCTTGCCACCGTCTCCGTATCAGCGCTCCTAGACTCAGGAGCCACTGGGAACTTTGTAAGCCCCAAGTTCATCAGGAAGCATGGTGTCAGGGCACAGCCCCTGACCCCACACACCCTCAGGTACCCTTCCCCCATTTTCCCCTATTTTTCCCTTCACTGTTCCACAATCCCGCATGCATGCAGACCTGTGGGAACGTTCTGGGCGAGTTACTTGCCCAGAAACCATCACAGCCACAACCGTGGGAACTTTCTGGGCGAGCAGCTCGCCCAGAATCTTCCCATGGGGGGGTGCCAATTATGGAAAGTCGGCAAAGAGCCGAAAACTGTATAGTTCCCGACTCCCATTTGTAGCGGCTTCACAGGAGGTTGAGAAGGTTACCCTTCTTCTCAACTCATTTCCTGTGAAGGCTGGGGCTAGCCCCCTCAGTGAGTTTGAAGATCTCGGACTGGGACTAGATACCCCAGCGACTAGGAGGATCCCCCTGGGCCTGTCACGGAACGAGGGTCGGGCCCTGACACATGGGCTCGAGACAACCCCGCTCCCCCAACCCATTCCCATCTGCAACGTCGACAGAACCCCAAACGAGAACGGAGCCATAACCGAGGAACTAGAGGCCCTCCTGACGTTTGAGCAGCACATGGAGCGGGCCCGCTTCGCCGTTGTAAACCTTGGGTGGCAGTCCCTCATCATAGGACACTCATGGTTGCTGCACCACAACCCAGAGGTAGACTGGACGTGGCAAAAGGTCAGTATGTCCTGCTGCCTGTGCTCCTGCCAGTCAGTGCGAGGACAGGCTGACCCAGACCCTGTGGTGGAACCTGGGGATGGGATTTACGCCGCTATCATCCCAGCGGATGGCCCAGGAGGCCTGCGAACCAGAGGCGGAGCCGGCACTGTTTGAGGCACTAGTCCCAGAATAGTACCAAGACTTCAGAGACATATTCTCAAAAGAGGCCTTTGACCAGCTACCTCCACGGAAGCCCTGGGACCATGCAATAGACCTAGTGCCAGATGCCAAGCTCCCAAGAGGGAGGACCTTCCCCCTGTCATGGCCAGAGCAGAAGGAACTAGACGAGTTCCTGTGTGAGAACCTGCAGAACAGGCGTCCAAATCCCTGATGGGAGCGCTGGTCTTCTTTGTCAAGAAGAAGGACAGATCGTTGCGCCTAGTCCAAGATTACTGAAAGCTCAACGAGATCACTGTTAGAATGGGTGGATTTGGACGACTCCGGAGTGGAATCGGAGACTTAGCGTGGAAGGACCTCAGCCTCAGTGACTCAGGTGGAGCGCTGTGCCATTGCTGGTTGTCCTGGGGGTCCCTAATTTCGGATCTAGCAGAGGGAAAGTCTCTTGGGGGCATTTCAGGTCGATTTCGGACTGAGGTTACAAGTTACTATGTACATTGTATATAAGGAGGGGTCCGGAATCAAAAGGAGTGAGGGTACTCCAAAAGGAGACAAAGGGAGCTGAAAGGAGGGACAACACCGAGGGTCAAGGGTTTGACTCAATGGTGTTTCCCAAAGGAGGAGTGAAGGGCCAAGGCCCAAGGAGGAAGGAAGGAGGATGGGAGTGGGGAATGGCCAGCTGACTGAATAGAAAGGAAGCAGCAGCCCAAATAGGAATGAGGGAGTATAGCGGAATTGAATGGAGCAATGCAATAGTTGCAAGGTCCGACATAAGTCCGGAAAGTCCGAACTCGGAAGTTAAACTCCGGAATATTGGCAAACATAATTAAATGGAATGAGCTAACCAATACAATGGGTATAAGCGGAGGTGGGGTCAAAGTCCGAGGTCGGAGCTAAGACTGGAGGTTCCGGAGACAGAGACATGAACGGGATTCCGGAGCAGAGGTCCGGAGTCGGGAGCATAGGTGTTGC